TAAATTGTTTTCTAGTATTATTAAAATTTGTTTCCCTTTTTCCCGTGACCCGTTCGTGTCCTGTTGCTTTGATTCCCTAAGCTCTCTTACTTACACACAGACACACACATACACATACATGCATACTTAAAAGTCGACGATTACGAAATGCACGTTAATGAGTAATAATAATGTAGTACATGTACGCTTGCAGATATATTGAAAGCTAAGTACAGTCTTTGAGAGACCATGCTATTTTTTCACATTCATTGATATAATCAAATACTCCTATATAGTAAATATATAATACGAACAAAGGTGCTCGGTGTTAGTAGATTACGTGCATTTATGACACTGACATAAACCGAGCTCTGAACAAACTATATTACATTTTTGTACGTACTGTCTAATTGATCAGTTCACATTACTACCGTTTTGTGTTTTCCTTAGTTTTAGGTTTTGTGTTATTTCTAATAACTTGATTTACTTTCTTCAAACGTTTTGTTAAACTAATTGTTGGGATGACGAACTAAACCTCTACAAATGGTTTACGAATCTTAAAACGTGAACTCAAAAAAATAAATGTGAAAAATATCCAAATTTCGGAAATAGGTTTAAGTTTGTAAAATGGTGTAAACAAAAGAGTGATACTTCTTTCTGCATTCATTATTTTGTTTGTCGATATCAAACATTGATTTTTGAGGGGGCACATTTTTTGGCTATTGCATGACATTGTCGGTCCAACGTTTTCGAATGTACTACTAGTAAATGAATAAACTGTGCATATATTCAAATTAATGTTTTATTTTGGGTATATATCTCTCTACATATATACACACACAAACATATATTTTCTTTTTTCTTTCTAAAATCCCCAAATATATTTGTAGCACGAAGTCATGACGTCTTTTACTTAGATACTATGGACCGAACCTGCTACACGATTTACGTCAGGATTATAAATGTCATTGTTTTTTCTTCTATTTAGATGAAATTTTTTTCTTTGATATATAAAATTGTCAAAAATATATATATATATTTTTTGATAAGATGGCTTTTAATATATTCTTTTTGCTTATTTGTTTTTTTAACAGTGAAATACTAGCCGTTAATTTGTGTATAGTTTCGTACTTCTATAGATTTGAATTGTGAGTCCACGCACAATGCTAAGCGAAAACTCGGGAATGCAAATTCTTCCGCACTCGGCTTTTAGTGTTGGTGTGCATTTGAATAATTAGACAACATTCTAAAAGTTTTTTTTTTTTTTTTTGAAGAAATCTTATAGACAGAGCAAAAAGAGAAAACAATACAGATCCTAAAAAAGGTAAATATTGAAACAGTCAAGAAAGAGTAATAGTAAATTTAACAATATACTACTCCAGTAGTACTAATTTTATTGAGATTAATAATGAATAAAAGCTAAAAACAGTAAGAAAGCGTGAGGTTCAATTATTAGTAGTCAAAGACTTTTTAAGCATACTTGCTTAGTTGTTTGTCAAAGTGGTCTCTGCTTTGCTTCTTATATCAGCTTCATCCCTTCACGTGATCCATTTAATTTTTTCCCTTTTCTTCTGTCCGAAGAAAGTCAACAGATTAATAACTTTTATAATGAGAAGGAGGGGTAAGTATATGTAAAAGCTGTCCAAATTTGAGAAACCAAAAAGAAAAAAAAAAAAACAGAAGGTGGTGGAGAGTGCACTCATTTTTTAGTATTTCATTTTTCAGTGAATATAATGTTTTATTAGGTTTGATACGAAAGTGATAATGCGTTTACGAAAACAGAGCTATGCACTGACCATTTTGGGATGGTTGTGAGAATATTGACGAATCCGAGTAGATTCAAGAAGAAGAAGTTAGCTATTTTTTTTCTTTTTTGATAAAAGGAATGTTTGAACTTTTGCGAAATTTATAAAGATTATGGCAGCAAATCAAATTTTGATTTCAGATTGATGATATCTACTTAGTCAAAATCTCAAATTTTCAGACTATTTTTTGTTGTGAATCCTATATGTAATTCTTTTGTTGTTTATTAAAACAGTGAAATTGTTTCTACAAGTTTTTATTGTGATATTTTCTAGGGAGTGTGGCGATTGATTTGTTGTCAAAACGAAATATACAGATCCTTGAGTTCTCCAAATAAGACAGATTTGACTTTTGTTGGTATGTAATATTCCCTTTTCTTACACATTCATAATAGCCATCGGAAACACAAACGAGCCTCTCCATGTGCTCTCACTTCCTTTCTCCAATAATCTCTTTTCGGGGCTCTCAATATCACACACGCTCTTTCTGTTTCTGTCACATCCATCTCTCTCTCTCTCTATTTATCTCATTTTTGTAATATGTCTCTGTGTACACATATATTAACTTATTGCATGTCGTTTTTATCATCTCATTATACACATCTTTATACAAGTATGTATCATAACTGGATGATCTACATTACATGCATGCCAAAAAGGTCTCTAGTATACATAATGACCAAGTCTTTTTTGCACCAACCATTACACTTTCTTTTGTTATTTTTTTGGTGCATGGTGGCAAGCTTTGGTAAGGTCAAAACTTATGAACAATTCGAAAACTAATAATCAAAGTTTTAGGTTAACGAATAGGTGTGAATCGGCTATTGCCCGCAATTCGATTGGTCTGCAGGTTTTCATGGTACGACTAGGGAACATTTGCGTTAATTCATAAAAGCTCCTTTACTCTTTTTTCTTTTTTTCTTTCATTCTTTTTTTGCTTTCTTTGATTGTAATTATGTAAGTATACCAACTTTATAATTACGTGGCCCCTATTTTCTTAAAAGACATTATTATAGTAGTAGTAGTAGTTTCTTGTTTATTATATACATATATATTTTTCTACATGTCCTTATTGATACTTTTTTACATGTGACATGACAATTATGGCATATTAACGGCGTTTAACCAACACATCACGTCATCATTCGTGGTTCGAGCGGTTTCGTGTAACCGGCAGTGATGGGGAGGAGCCAAATGTGTAGTAACGCGTCTCCTCGACAGCCGAGCTTTCTTTTTCCTCTAATTTGGCTCCATCTGAGACACTCTAAATCGGACGGCTGTGATGCAGACGTTATATAAAACTCATCTTTCTCAATTATTACAGTTGATCTATGACTTGGCTCTTTCTTATTGGACGGTTTCGAACCGACTAGATCAGCTTGTAGCAGAAGCTGACTGAACTGAAACCACTTTGGTTTCATTTGCTCTAGCTATTATAAAAAAGTACTATAAACTTCATTAATACGTTAAACTGATGACAAGAACCAAAAGAGAAAGTTACTAAGCTGGATTATGTAAAAAAAAACCCACCTTTTTGTGAGAATTCTAAAATTTTGTGAAAATGACTAAAGTTAAAGTTTAAGCTATACTGTATTTGTTATTGTAAGAAGATCACTAAATTAGAGATTACTAGTAATAAAGTTTTCTAAAGAGGCGATTAACCAAACATTCTTATTGTAATATGTGAACACTCTCGTAGTTCACTTTTCTTATATAGCTTTTGGCCATGGCTAAAATAATACCAAGGGACAAAATAAAAAACTAAGGGACCCAAAGAGAAAACAGGGAGAAAAAGATGGGTTTGGATTTGTCAATATCCGTAACGTATATCCTTTTATTAGTTGGTAACGCAGTTTTTACGGAGTATGGTTAAAAACAAGTGAAGTAAAATCGCCGTGAGGGTGGTGTTGGAACTGCACAAGAGATGATGAGACAAGTAACAAGTGTCGGACCTCGAGCAGCCTGGTTCTCTGATGATGCCCCTCTTCTCATTTCAAACCCTTAAAAACCATTTCTAGATATGCATATTGTGCGGTGTTACAGAGGCAATAAAAATAACTTTAAATGGAAAGAAAAGAAGAATACGTATGAAAGAAGCAAAATCTGGACGAATCCAAAGCGGGCTTCTTAAATAAGTTTTTTTTTTTGTGTACTGTTACTACTGTCTCACGCAAATAATAAAGACATAAAAAGCATACAAAATTACATATAATAAAGCAACAATTGAAAGATGAAGAAGGATAAGAAACGTGTGCACTGAAGTGTGTTTGTGTCTCTATGACGCCCAAAATTACTACTAAACAACAACAAGCCACATTTAATTTTACTTGTGCAGTTCCAACTCATCCTCCATCATCATTCGAAGATGACGATGATGATCATCTTTTGTGTCTCACTCGTAACTCGTACGTTATATATATATAAGCTTTGACTTGTTAAGAGCTACAAACTTTGGCTTCCGGAGTATAGCATATTTGTGGTAATATACAAATCATCAACCTAACGTTTCCAAACGCATCCCATTTGCGATATACTAGTTTTTGATGAACATAAACTATATGATAAGGGCTAAAATGTTGTATTCACTATTACTGTTTTAATATAAAAAAGTTAACTTAAACAAATAGTCTTGAAAAGCAAAATGTTGCCATCCTCACAATCAGCGTTTCTTATTGTTTCCTTTTTAATTTTATTTTAATTTAAATACAACAACTGATCTGTTTACTTTTGTCGTTGTAATCTTTTTTCCTTTTTAGAAATCTATTCAAACCTAATAATAAAAGTGACAAAAAAATAATTAAAGCCAAAACCCAATTGGACAAAATGATCTAAAATCGTAGTGGGTGGGACACAAGTCCAATTCCATTATTATCATTTTTTTGCTCTGTTTTTTTTTAAAAGGAAGTAAAACAATTAATTAATAGTTTTATTATATTTTATTTATTGATTCAAAAGCGTCAGTATCACACTAATCGCAGTCAGATTTTATTTTCTGAAGGGTTTAGGTATCTATATTCTGTAGTATATACAAAACTTGTTCATTGCAATTGCGCATATTCTTCATAATAATATAATAAAAGAAAAAAACAAAACAAATATAGTCACAGAACTTTGAATAAAATAAGATCATTCCATTATGGCTTTATTTTAATTTTATCTTTCTATAAACAACATATGAACACTAGGATCTCATTAAGAAAGTATAAGAACCCAGAGAAAAAAAAAAGTTCAAGTACTGAATATAAAATATTCGTTTGATTTTATATTATGATTCTATAATATTACTTAAGAACTATCACAAATTAAGAAAATCCTAATATAACTTAGGATCGATCCGTTGGAGGAAAAAAAAAGAAGGATTTTAAGAACCCCTCCAATAATTATGAGAAAGAAAAAAAAAAAACCATTTCCATGTATAATCACAGACCGGACACAAACTATGGAAAGTTTTGTTGTTGTTGTTGTTCACATAATATTGCAGCTTGATGTGTTCTCATCACTGAAGTAATCAGAATACTGGTCACCGTTGTGAGGCGGATACGGATACGGGTACGGGTATGGATGTTGCTGGTGCGGTTGAGGTGGCATATAGTTGACAGCTGGCGGTGGTCGAGCGTACATCATCGGCTGGAACCGCTCATTCCCCATGGCTCGTTGCTGGTTCATAACCGCAGCCAAGTATTGTTGTTGTTGCTGCTGTTGCTGTTGTTGTAAGTAGGGATTTCCCGGCATTGAGTCTTGACCGCCTCCTCCGCCGCCGCCAGGGGCTTGGCCTTGGAAATATCCTGGTGGTGGTGCTCCTGCCGATGGGCCGCCGCCTCCGCCTGGACCCATTGCGGGTAATCCTTGAACTGCCTGCATGTTATTACCCATTGGACCCGGACCAGGTCCACCGCCCATCTGTGGAAGACTACCCATTGGACCACCCATTGGCATACTCATGGTTGGAGGTCCTCCACCACCGCCACCGCCTCCCATTGGACGGAAACCCGGCGGGAGTCCTCCATTCATGGGTCCTCCTCCTCCGCCGCCTCCTCCACCGCCCTTTTTACCGCCGTTAGGGCCGCCATTCATCTGGCCTCCACCGCCTCCTTTGTTACCGTTTGGAGGGCCGCCACCTCCGACCATTTTCCCATCTAAGGGATGACCACCGCCGCCGCCTTTGCCACCGTTCTTTCCTCCGCTTTGGTTTTGAATCCCCATATTACCACCACCACCGCCGCCTCCTCCACCGGGACCGCCCTTCTTACCTCCATTCCCTCCAGCACCGCCGCCCATTTGAACAGGAAAAGGCATACCTTTGCCCTCAATTTTACCACCGGCGGGTCCAGGACCACCACCGCCACCGTTTTTATGAGCGTTTAACATCTGTTGAGCGTTAGGCATCATCATGTTAGGCATCATGTTATTAGGCATCATCATGTTACCACCAGCACCACCACCACCCATCATAGGCTTCATCTTGTTAGGCGGAGGTGGGTGGTCGTCAAACTCATCATCCTCCAAATCATCATCAAACTCGTCGTCATCCTCATCAAACTCATCATCGAATTCGTCACTGAAATCATCCTCGTCGTCATCATCATCAGGAACGTTGAACTTCACAGCCTTCTGATTAGGATTAACAGGCATCTGAGGATTCTTGTTCATAGGAACAGAGCCAGGCCCCGGACCTGGACCACCCTTTAACTGAGGAGGAAGCTTCAGATCTTGAAACCCTTTCATCTGCTGAAGTTGTTGTAGCTGCTGAAGCTGCTGCGGGTTCAACTGCTGCATCTGTTGCGGAGTTAACTGCGGAAGAACCATCTTCGGTGGTCCACCGCCGCCTCCTCCACCTCCTCCTCCTCCACCGCCACCTCCGCCACCCCCAGGACCGTTCTTTTGGCCTTTGTTATTATTTCCACCGGCGGGGTTACCACCACCACCACCACCGCCTTTGCCGCCGTGATCAATCTGCATGGCTTTGAACTGATTAGCCAAGTTGGGTTGGTTCTGGTTGTTGTTACTACTTCCCTTGGGAGCTCCCCAGATTTCGGCATGTTTACCAGACTTCAAGAGCTTCTTGATTAGAACAGCTGGGTCTACGTTTCCAGATACAGTCACTTTTCCTTGCTCTGCGTCTATCTTTGTCGTGAAAACACCTAAGATCAAAGACTTTGGAGTGTTAAGTCAAATCTTGATGACATAATAAGATTTGGTTTTAATTAAAAAGTCAAAATTTTGTTTTTTTTTTGTTCTCTTACCTTCAATTTTCTGCAAGATTTTCTTCACTTTCTGCTTACAACCATCACAGTGAATGTTCACTTTGAGAACACAAGTCTACACAACAAAAACACCAAAACAACAAGAAAAAAAAACAGAGTTAATTCTTATGTTACTGTAATAACATTAAAACAAAAAAACGGGAAAAAATAGTAATGAGCAAACCTGGATCTTCATGAACTCTTCTTTACTCATCTTTTCCTGTAGCTAGTAACGAAATTCAAATCTATATAACTATTGCAACTAGATCTGAGACAAATCCTCTGTTTCTTGAACGTTTAATCTGCAAACAAGAAAAACGTTACTTAAAAGGAATAAGATTTAGAAGACAGAAGTAAACATCACGGTGCAAACATACAAACACATGTTATACATTATCTGAGAGGGAAACAAATATGCTTTGAGAGAGAGAGAAAAAGAAGTCTCCTTTCTTATTGGGTATTCGCCATGGAAAGACAAATATGCAGAGAGAAGAAGATTTCAGAGAAAAAACAGAGAGACTTACTTGAATGAAGCAAAGAAGAAGAAGGAAGAAAGTTTCAGACTTTACAGTAAGTTTGGTGAACATTAACTTCTCTACTTCATCTATTTCAGAATGAGAGGGAGAGAGAGAGAGAGAGAGAGAGAGAGAGAGAGAGAGAGAGGATGATGCAAAGTTGCTACTTCGTTATCTTTTTTAAGATGGCCTTTTAATTTATTAGGAGAAATGAAGTGAGTGCAGTACTCTTATTTTGGGTTTTATATATTTAATAAAACATTTTTTTTCTCTGTGGGTTTCATTATTGTAATTTAATGGTTAAAGATGTGAAAAGTAATTGTCAAACTAGATTAGGAGTATGTGTCCATAAAAGAAACTAGTTTAGGAGTTATCAATAGTATCTCAAACCATTTAATTTCGTATATGGTATATAGAGTCAAAACTTCTTTAATTTCAGAAACTTAAAAACAGGATCTTATGATTTTATAAGTTGGTCCGTTGTTAGATTTGAATACGTTCTCATGAAAAGTATATAACAATAATACAACTTCAGTGTGAGAAATAAACTATTACGTACAAAGGAAACGTTGGAACTGGGGGCTATGTGAATATTCATAACATCCCCCTATAGTATATAAGAATGTGCTATTTAATTTAATTGTTAATTTGTTACTTTTATTAGAATATTATTAGCTCGGCTTGTGAGGTGGTGGCTTGGCTTGGCCTCAACTTTAATAAATTATTGTTTTTATGGGGAATTCATTAAACTAAAGTATTTTAGATAGTGTCTTAATCACGACAATAAGCCGGTTAATTTGACGTTACTATAGTGATGAAAAACGTGAAGTTGTTCTCTCTTTTATTCTTTCCGTATAAACCGGTCCTAGGAATTTTGCTACATTAAATTTAGGAATGATCTTTTCATTCTTTCTTTACAGCAATATATTAATTTTAAAATTTTAAATATTTTTTCAAACAGTAATTAGATCTCTAATTTTATTATTACTATTTACAGCTAAGATTACTTAAAATGATTTAGAAATCCAAAATAAAAAGACGATATTTATATGCACGATGAGCTTATAGATATGCGCTGATAGATTGTACAACGCGTCCGTTTTAATGTTATATCGGTATGAAAACAAACAAAATTGAGAAAAAACAAGAATTTTTTTTTAATCTTTCGATTTATCTAATCATCTCATATAACGTAAATCCTAAAAAGTTTTAGTACGACGATCTAATTATTGATATTTCATATAACGTAAATCCTAAAAAGTTTCAGTACGATCTAATTATTGGCATTTCAGATATTTTTAAAAAGTAACAAGATAAAAATTAAAGTGAGTTGGATCAACTACGGACGGATATGCGCCGATGTTTTATGTCAACGTATCCGTTTCAATGTCATTTCAACGTGAAACAAACAAAATTGAGAAAAAAACAAGAAAAATATTTTTAATCTTTCTAATTTTATAATCAACTTATATAACGTAAATCCTAAAAAGTTTTAATATGATCTAATTATTGATATTTCAGATATTTTTAAAAAGTAACAAAATAAAAATTAAAGTGAGTTGGATCAACTACGGATATGCTCCGATGTTTTATGTCAACGTGTCCGTTTTAATGTTATTTCGGCGTGAAACAAACAAAATTGAGATAAAACAAATTTTTTTATTTAATCTTTCTAATTTTATAATCAAATCATATTGCATAAATCCTTAAAAAAATTAGTATGATCTGATTACTGATATTTATATATATGGTTTTAAAATGTACACCTAATATGTATGATAACAATTTAACTATGTTTTTTTTTTTTGGTAAAAAAGAAAGCAGAGTGGGTGTTGAATTGGATCACCCACGGTCCACAATCTGGCCGGTTTAAAGATGTGTTATATTGATATTTATAAAATCATATTTACAAAATAAAATGTCGAAAAAATAAGGCTCAGATGAAAACATGGAGGTGTCTAAACTCTAAAGAGTAGAGAGAAAATAAAATAAAAACAACATAAAGAAGTCTTATTTTTCTGGTTTGATTTAGATATATATATATATGACTGTAAACCCCAATCATGATTAATTTCACTCTACGATTCAAAGAAACTATTTGACCATATGGATTCACATACTCTTGAATAATTTGTCGCAATAATTATTATGATATCGCGCATGGCTCGTTTCTTCAATCATTAACAAAACTATACTCGATTTATGTATTTATTTCGTTTTCATATATACAAAAAAATCATCACGGATCGATCAGGTTTGGTAATAATAATAGTAAGTAGCCAAAAACCACAACACCCATAATTGGAGGCCACTCTAATGCTTATCCTATCCAGGTACTGTTTTTTTTTTTTTTTTTTTTTTTAATAATCTATTTTACAACTAATAATTCGCGAACTAAAAACATTTGTAATGATAAAAAAAAAAAAAAATCTATCCACCTGCCTAATATTTTTTATAACTTTAAACGAATTTTGTAATGATGTAAAACTCACATGTAATTGTAACTGTATTCAGCAGTGAACAATCCATGTTTCTTAAACCTTTTTTTTTGTCGACATTTTCTTCAATAATTTAGTAAAAAGTTAAAACTTACTTGAAACAGTGGGACCAATTATATGAAAAAATGACAAAATTGGTTAAAGAAAGAGACAATTTAAGAGAAATTTAGGCATAAGAATAAAGTGTTTTAATTGATTACTTTTTTGTCTTGATGGGAAAAAGACATTTACCTTAAAGAATTACTTCAAATTGCTAACTATTATATGTTGTTAGAAACTAATAATAACTAAACAGAGAGAAAAAAAAAAGTGGGGTTGTGTAAATGATGAAAGCCTCACTCACACACCCTTGCGAGTAAACATAATCACGTTTTCGGCCGAATCAGTTTCTCTTAATTTTTCTCTTAATTAAGCTATCTAAGTTTTAGACACTTTTGTTCTACGCATATAAGTATCATGATTGCACTTTGTCTCAAAAGCCTAAATTATATGTAAACATGGCATGAAACACTCTCCCCTTATTTTAGTTTTCCTTTTTGGCTTTTAAATTATAATAATACTATATATTTATACACTTTTGGGGATTCTTTTTAAAGATTTAACTGTTAAGACGAAAAAAATTAATTCACTGTCAATTAGTAAAGAGAATTAATAAAACAACAAAAAACAAAATAGTAAAGAGAAACAAAAGTTACATATTACATGCATACACACAAATATACAAATTTCCATGAGATTTTTATTGTTTTGTTTTCCAATTAATATCAAATGTCGAAAACTCGAAATGCCGACAAATATCAAAGATGAGCATGTTCTTTGGTCATAATATTTTTGGGCAAATCCACCACGGATTCATTGTTTAGGCCAAATCCCAAACAACCACCAATTAAGTGGTTCATGCACAACGAAGCTGTTCGTAGCAAAAAATCGAAACATTGAACATGTGTGTGAACTTACATCCTAACCCAACTCTAGCTACCACTTTCCTACCAATGCATGGGTTCATTCTAACTTTTCTTTTTATCATACTTTCTTATTGCATATTATAGCGACAAATTAATGTACATTGTGTCGTTTGGGTCGTAGACAAATGGTAAATCCAACAAAATTTATTTTGCAGTATCTTTTAAACAAGACTTAAACTTTTAAAAACTTTTTTTTTTGTTCAGTCTGAGTGTATATATATATAAGTACTTTTCTTTTCTTATTGGAATATTTTTTCGTAAGTATTATGGTCAAAGGAAAAGAAGTAACAACACTTCCGTACGTACATAATAACATCTCAAATCCCAATTAGAGTGCAAACTATACATAAGATGTTAATTACATATATAGTAGTAGTTGTTAACATGCAATTAATATGAGAATAGTACCATTAGCTTTAAAAAAATAAAATGCATTGTACATGGAATTGATCATAAACCCGAATTTCGTAGTTAGGTTGTTCACGCTTTTTTTAATTATATCCGATGATTTACTTACACGTAAACTATAGTTTTTATGGAATGTAGAGAGTATAATATATGTTTATACATAGAGAAGTTCTAAAAATGAAATTAAAACTAAAACAACGGACGAGGTACAAAACATGTTATGTCCCAATACTATTAGGGAATATTAAAGCAAACAACAATTAATAAATAAATAAAAAAAGAAGAAGTGAAAAAACTATACTCGTAAAAAAAACATCTAGTGGGATATTATTGTCATGGCCATATGAATGAGAGTAATCTGTAGTTCTGTACCATATAATTGGATAGGACAAAAAAAGGTAACGTTAGCTCGTAAAAAAATCTATTGTATGATATAGGCCAAGTCTTTTACAACGAAAGGACATTGTACCATTTTTGACATTTATGATACAATTTTACGATGGCTGTGGGAGAATTATTTCGTTCCACATTATTGAATTTTTTTTGGTAATTTTTTTTTTTATTAGCTTTGAATTCAACTCTTCTTATGGGAAACGAAAGAAAGACTTTGATAAAGAGAAAAATCTCAAAGACTTTTAAATTAAAATGATTAAATAAAAAACAACACTTATCAGCAAATTAACCATTAAACATTTGAAAACAAAATTTTGGGTATTATTGGGATAAAAACTTGTAGGTAAATGTAATTTGCCAAAAATGATAGAGTTGAGTCACATGAGTCTCCAATGTTCACATGGGGTCATCTTCTTCTTATTGACAAAATGACATTAATTGGTGTTTTTGTCTCTATTCTCTTCTCTCTTGTTACCATCTTTTCCTTATAGAGATTCGTTTTTTTTCTTTCTCTTTCTCTTTTCTTTAAAACGAATCTTATCACAAATACGTCTCCTACTTGAGTCGTTATATTTTAGTATGCAAAATGTTAACACGTATGAACTGATGGCGGAAATGATAAGAGTGAATTATATATATGGTTGAGAGATTGACAGTGTGAACTAGCTGATGACGCAATATGATAATATCTTTGACGGGTGCGTAGTGCGTACGTACAAGGTTCGTATTAGGCTATAGTTTTACTATTCCATGTAGCAATCCATGTTATTCCATAGGGTTCTTCAGAGGCCAGAGCTACACTAAACTAGCGAACCTAAGACTTCAACATTGCAACACCTATAACCCTGGCGCATCAGTCTTACATCAACAGTTCTATAATCTCCTCTAGCCACCAGAACTAGAACTTCTACTAAGCCATCGTGTGACAACACCGCAAACATCTATGTGCCTCTCACGTTGAATCCCTAACACGTATCCTAAAGTAAGCAACTCCCTCTCTATATAACAAATAACATAAAACCTTAGATATATATGTAATATAACTATCTATTGAATCTAAAACTTTAGTTTAGCTTGAAGTCATGACAGTATATCTTGTGTGCTGAGCTGTTATCAATTCTGTTCCAGTAATATATCTTTCAGACACTTTAGTTCTTGAATCATAGTAATCTTCATTATTTGAGTTTTATCTCAGCCAATAATTACACTTTCAAAACTAATCTCGCTTGGACAAAATCATTCATTTTCTTTCCTATGGGATAGTTAATGGAATATTACAATTGTGGAGTTAGTTGAAACTTAAACATCTTGATGAACTATATTTACTGTAAAGTCAAATCTGAGAAAAAGAAGAAGAAGGTCTACAAATAGAATATAGGAAATTGAAAAAAAAACAAATGTTGATAAATGAGAGATTCGTCAAGGAACTTTGATTAAACATCATGGTATGACTAGTAAACATTGTCATAGGCCGAAAAGGAAACAAATCACTTCAAATCCTATATATAGTCCAAAACAAGACAGATACAATTCTCACATAGACCCAGGGCTTTTCAATTTTTCATTCTTCAAACTTCAACTTTCTATGTTTGCATTTTTATTTTTACAGTACGTTATGTTTTTATTTTATGAAAACATACAGTAGCTCTCTCATTCATGTATGTATTTTTACACTTTATTGATAAGAAAACTATCAAAGACACATCATGTCTATAGATCTGATACCACCTGGAATCAATATGAATGTATACCTTGTGAAGAGGGTCGCTTCACTACTCTCATCAAATGGAGACTTTTTTTTTTTTTAATATGATTCACTATCTTCCTCAATTCAAAAGTTTGAACATTCTGTCAAAAAGAATGAACTCACACTTCACTTTTCTAACTTTTTCTTTCTCAGGCTTAACTTCAATAGGAAACATTCTCCATCTCCCAACCCAGCTTTTTCCTTTTCTTTTTAGCCTTTTTTATAGACAAAAGAGCAAAAGGGAGAGGAAAAACAAAAAAGATAACTTCTTTGAAATGTTGCTCTTCATCAACTTCAGTTCCATCTCTCTTTATTATCTTTTGAATTTCTGTAATTATCAAGGTCCCCATTTTTTTGTCTTCTACACAAAACTTTTACTTTCTAGAGAAGAAAGAGATAAAAGAAATCCAAATAAGGGACATATAGAGGTATCCAAAACTCTTGCTGAACTTTTCCAAACATAGAAATGGTTTCTAGAGAGTGTGACTCTATACCTTACTGTAAACAACATATGGTTGCCAAGTTCTATCCGAGAGATAAGCAAACAAAGAAATATTCAATAACACGTCAAAGAGATTAATGAGTGTTTCAAGCAGAGAGACACAGCGAGAAATTCTTTAGAATCATTAGAGATATATTACATTACTGATGTTTTTGTTTTTTTGTTCTTCCACATTTCCGAAACTAAGACCAACAGATATATACAGAGTATGAAATGATGTTTGTATAAGAAAACAGGGCATTAGAACTTGCTTCAAGGGTTTAGGGAAAAAGAGAAGAAACCAAACTTGGTGTTTACGTGAAGGGAGCAAACCTCTTTTTCAGTGTTGTCCACCATCACTACTTTGCACCTTCATCTTTACAAGTTGTTCGATAGGTTCTCGACAAATGGGACATTTGTTTGACTGAAACGTGAGTTCTTTTGCGCAGTCACTGCATAAACACTGCAAGAAGGAACACCACATAATTTAGTCTTGATAACTATTCAACCAAAAAATTATGTTCTTGTAAGAAATTTGGTGTAGATTAGCTATCGAGTTTAGAGTCAAATATGAAGTAAGTCTAAAATGACAGAAATTGCATGTTCATGTTGGAAACTACGGTTAATAAGTGTACCGACTAAATGCAAAACTTGTGTTTAGGTGAAATCAAAGAAAATAGGTAAAAGCTTTTACCAAATGTCTACAAGGCATGACGGCTGTGTCCTTAGGTTCAGTCAAGCATATGACACATTCTTTGCCACCGGCATCCTCTAAGCCTGACTCACCATTATCTTGTATGACCGAGTTATCAATTCCATACAACTCTTGTAGTTCATATCGTTCTCCTTCAACCCATAGGATCTGTTTCATGACTTTCACTTTAAACGTTTTATCGTTAGTCTTCTCCAAACTGGCTAGTGTGATTTGCTTATGCGCGAAAATTTCCTCTGAAACCGAGCTTGGTGGGGTTACTGCCTCGGCTGATATAACAAGTGGGTACACCCCTTCTGGTGTTGGTTTCGATAGATCATCCAGTGAAAAGAATCCCAAATCAGTTCCTGTCCCTGAAGGTTGTAGAAACTTCTGCCCAGTACCTTTCTCGAAAGGGACTTTGGTTTGTGGATAAGCTTCAGGTAAATGTGGAACGATTGTGCAGTCAGATTCCTCCTTTGCAAAAAATATGATTGTAAAACTGAAAATGAGACAAGTAACATAATCAGACTCACTGTTGGTTAATCTTAGTAATAATGTTCATAAACAAAACATACAAAAGTAACTTCAAAAGTTTTAGGATTTTTGTTTTCAGGATTCGCAATCAGAAGGTCCGTTTGAGTTTTGATCACTCGAAGTCTAAGGTCAAAGCCTTAAAGCTCGGTAGGCAACACAGAGAGAGTAATAAGATTGATTCAGTAGCTAACTAGAAAATTTCAAGTAAAAGGAAAAGTCTTAACCAAATCACAAACCCATCAGCCAGAGTCATGTCTTGTCCATAAGCCAGAATCATGTAAAGTTTTAGCCTTTTATAATCAAAAATTGTGGCTCCACATAATTTAGATCTTCCTTTCCAAAATCCTCTCTACCCTAATTAGCCAATCATGTCCCAATCCTGGTTATAATATAACTAAACTTGGATCAATTGAACCAAATTGATCCAAATGAAGAAAAACAAACCCCTAAATTCCAGTAACTAAAAGCAAGCAAAGGTTTTGACTTTTGAGTCAGATCATGTAAAGTTTAAACCTTTTTGATCCAAATATGAGATTCAGTATAACTTAGAAGTGCCATCTACCCTAATCAGCCAATCTCATCCCAATTCCGATTCTAAAGTCCGATTGACCGAACCTTAATATGACCCTGTAAATCCTAAAATCAAGAGTTTTTTTTTTATACCTGCCATCGAAAATGGCATCGAAGACGAAGGAAACAAGATGATGACCAGGGTTAAGATCGTCTGGTTCGAGCTTCACCGTAGCTTTATTAACATTGACAGCATTCCTCACCTTCTTCGCGCTCTGATGCTCCACATAAGGCTGCACAATTTGAACCGTAGGCGGTTGCGGAATGTAGTGTCTCCTCCCAAAATTATTCCAACCATTTTGATGATAACCGGCGAAATAAGGAGGAGCTTGTTGCGGGTAATACTGGTTTTGATGATAGTTATGACCGTACGCTCCGTAATTAATCTGCGGCGGGGGAGGTGGAGGTGGAGGAGGCGGAGGCGGAGGAGTTGAAACGAGGTTGTTCTGAGTGTAGCTGTAGTTGTACTCGTTTTGAGGCGGCGGTTGCGAGGGAGGATCGGGGTAATAGTACGGCGGACGATGAGGAGGAGGGGGAGGAGGAGGAGGAGGATTGTGGTGGAGACGGTGGTGGTTGTTGTCACGTCGACGGTTGCTAAAGGAGATCCCCATGGACAAGACTCTGAATTCAGATAGCCAGAGATTTGTAAGAGAAGAAGTCAGATCAAAGATTTTTATATGTTACTTAGAACATTGTATTACCAAAAAATAAAAGAAGAACATAGCTTTTTTTTTTTTTTTGGACCAAAAAAGAACATAGCTTTTAAACTCTTTTACTCACACAGTTAAACTTACCGCCGGATTTACTGCCAATTTTTGTGTTATAAAGTCAATGCGTGCGGTGCGTGTAAATTGTAACCTTTCTTCAAGTTCTTCCCGAAGGGACTTGACCGAAAGAGACATGACTCTTTCTTCTTCCTCTTAAAAATTATAATAAATACATAAATAATGTGTTGATTAGTAAAATATCAACTCTATTGTTGACTATGTTAACTTTGAATATTATGTTACTGAATTATATATTTTAGATATTATTGGAGAAGTTAGAACAATACAAAACTAAAGAAAACTACATCCCCAAACTCGTTTCATTTATTTTTGTTCATCTAATATTTTAAATTCCTGTGAACTAATTTACATGTCAAAAGAAAAAACAAATTTTGTTCTGAAAATAATTTTATATCTATGTTATTATACAAATCAAGAAAAAACTATGCTTTGTAAGGTTGAAGATATAGATTATTATTATACAAAGTATTCAGTAGCTTTACTTAAGGACTATGGTTTTCTCTTGGTCCTGAGGTTGTTGAGCATCTATCTTTATTAAGAGAGGCTCGTTTAGATCCGTCGTAGCATCTTCAGAAACGGTCAGCTCAGGTGAGGCTGCAACCGCTTCGTTCATGTCTCCTCCGTGCTCTGCTAATGCTTTTCTTAGAGCGTCCTTAGCCACCTTCGTAACACAGACCATTAATATCACTGCAAATAAAAGAAGAAACGAGAGACATTAGTGATTCTGTGCATTAGCTGTTTGTTAAAGATTCTTATTATGGTGAAAATGAATTCTAGGAATCGTCGAACTAACCTGATATTACAAGGCTCGAGATCAAGATCGCCTGCAAATCGCAGAACACAGGTCAGAAAGAGATTGAAACAAGAAGTTGAGAATATATGTGCAAATCTTACCCAGCGACTTAGCGAGAACTCCCTCCACTTGTGAGTCACATCAGAAAGGTCTTTAAGAGTTGTTCCGACATACACTAGCGCAAGCGTTATTGGCTGCAAATTAATAATGTGTCAAGATGTATTCTTTTGATCTTACAATCAAAAACATTTTACAGTGGTGGTAGAGAGGTGGAGTAGATTAGATTACCATCATCCCTAACCAAGAAGAAAGCAAGTATGGGCCTAGCCGAATTGGAGTTACAGATAAGAGGTAGTTCAACATGCTGAAGGGGAGGAGAGGAGCAAGCCGTAGCAGCAAGCATATCTACATTCAGTTTTGCATATTCATTAGTAAGAAAAGAGTGACAGCACAACAACAAAATTCACTCTTCGTAGGTTTAAGGTGCAAACCTTGAAACCAGATTTCTGAATCGCGAGTGCCACCGATTGAAACTGAGGATAATCCTTCAATTTTGCAACTACAAAAGGTTTTCCAATCTGCATAAGTGCATTTACAATGTAAGTTCCAAACAAAATAAAGATAGCGTCTGTCTGCATATCTTCTAACTACATAAGATCATTGAGACGCTTACTGTACGGCCTAGAAGAAATGCTGCTCCTGAGCCAAGTGTAGCACCGACTGAGTCCGCCACAAAACCAATTGGCAGCCCAAAAAGGTAGCCACCACCGATCTGAATAGCACAAAATTCAACCAAATATGATATCTCACATTTACAGAACAAACCTGTGACTCTCAAAGAAGATAAACTCTCAAAGTGGATAGAAGCCATAATATATCACACACAAAAGAAAAAGAATCATAATGTATATACCGTGAGAACCGAGGCAGGAACAGCCAAAACTGTTAGAGGAATGTATGCAACAGCTCTGCAAATATTACAAAAGAAAGACAAGTTCAGTACCGAGGTAAACAACCTGCTCAAAAAGGCCTCCTAACTCTTATGTCCCTAAATTTCTAGAAGTTTTAAGTGCATAGACTTGTTAAAATCTATGGATAAACAACATTAGTTATGAAACAGTTGTAAAGCTACAGCCATTACTGTTGCTGTATCTCATTGCTACAATTTCACGCAAGAATCAAGTAAGCTTCGTATCCCAAGAAACAAGAAGAAGAGTCACTTACAGGACAAAAGGTCCCCAAGGCCCTAGATCTTGTTCAACCCATAACAAAAAATCCTTCAAAAGCTGAAAAAAGTACCAAAAGGAATAGTAAGTTTCAAACCATAAAACCTACAATACTCCAAAATGAGAGGAATTCAAAAAGGAAAGATACTATCTAGACAAAATCTATAAGCTTTACTCGCACATTTGCTTTTGCTAATCAATTCAATTCAGCCACGCATACACACATATCATACTGCAAAGCTCAATCCTTTCATTGCTACGAAACCTCAAACGAGACAATTCAAGGCGACATTTTAACCAGGAATCCAAAGAAAAGATTGAGAATTTCACAGAGAGCATCCAATACCAACAAAACCCCATATCAGGAAAACCCCTAATTTGGACAACCACGGACCTTCTCAACGGGGAGAAAATAGCAAGCTAAGACAATTGCAGCTACAAGGATAAGGAGAACCGAAATCCGAAGCGCAGATCCCCACGTTAACGCCATTAACGGCGACCTTACGACGCTGAAATCGCCTCCGGCGACTATTACACGGCGATGCCGGATCTATTGGTTGTTTTTGTTTGACAAAGCGAGCTAATTGAGAATTGCGACAAAAGCGAAGAATTTTTCCGACAAAAGTAAAAACAGCAACGCGAATCGTGACGATGTAGAATAAACTTTTGGTGCTGCTTGCCTTTGAGATGATCTAATCTCTGAAACGGAAAAGGACAAAGGAAATGTTTTTTGGGGAAGGTTTCGTTTTCGTGATGAGGATGGATTCAATTCAATTGTAATTGATTTGGTTTGGAGAGTTCCATGTTTAGCGTGAGACAAGAGCATTATCAGAACTGTGTGTGGACTGGTTACATTAAACCGCGTGGCGCGTACCGACTTATTCGATTTCGATAATATCTGTGTTTTTTATTATTATTATTGTGTTATTTAAAAACTAAATAGGATTAAAATAAGAAAAAAAATAAGTTTATTCTCTTGTAACCTAAAAGTTTTTTATTTCTAGATTTTTAAAAAGAATGAAACAAATATAATTATCCCCATATGTTTAAATTAGTGACCGCGTTTAGGCAGTGTGGTTTGGTCGTTTTGGATTATATATATAAAATAGATGACATTTAACCCAAAAAAAAATATATGTTTGACCTTCATAATGAAGAAAAACAATGACATTAAGTGGCACGAAGCCACGAGATGTTATATTTCATGATTCATCCATTTAAAAATTCCAAAATTACTTCATCAATAAGATTACAAATGTGATGGTCTATCATTTCTTTATATAATTCGTATAAAATATGATAAATAGACACATTAACATCATTATGTGATTAGAAAAATTTATACCAATGACGAACTCTATTCAAAGAAAAATTCAATGATCAAGTAAAAAAAAATTGGTGTGTAAACGGATTATTTTTGTATTTCGGCTTTGACTAACATACCAAATGTATTTATACAACATAATCAAGAAAGTCTAGAGAAGAGAAATAAAAGAATCTCCTAGGCTCCTAAAACTTAAAACAGCTCTCTCTACTCTACTCTTTTTATCTTACACAAACTGCATTTAGCAAGACATGAACAAGCATGAGATCCACAAAGTACTGATGCCCAATCTCGCCATCTCTCCACCGCATCTTTGCTGGAGCTCTCCCGTAGTGAACCCCATCGTTACACCGGTTATCAAAGTGCCACGGATAAGTCATATCCAAGTTATCAATCACACCCGAGACTAATCCTAGTTCCTTCATTTTCTCCAAAAACACACCATTGTACACTTCAATCTTGCTCGGGTTAAACGCAAGCAACCTCGCGTAACCGCCTGTGGCAATAGTGTTCCTAAAAATCACTTCAGGCGGGCGGAATCCGCGAGCTTTCACCGAGTCGAAAACGCTTCTCCAAAAGGCAGCCGCGGTTTCTGCTCCTTTTGTGAACGCTCTAAGGTTAGACCAGTGAACGCCGTCGTGTAGACCCGAGTTAACGATCATTAAGTCTCGTACACCGGTCTCTTCTACGAAGTAGCTTTTAAGCAATTCTCTAAAGGCCTCATCTTTAAGTGAATCAAGACCTTGATAGTTTTGAGTCTCGTTCCAGTGTCCATTGAAGATACTCGTGATCCTCACTGTTTCGGACGAGTTCTTCGGATTCGAGAACTTCAAATCAAACCTCCTCGGCACAGCCCTAATCTCCGGATGACCCAAAACAAAATTCAACAAGTTTCTAATCGAATCAACATGGTTGGAATCTCCCCAGAAGAAGATCCATTTGTTCTTCAAACAATCCCAAGCTGATTCGCCTGAGAAGAGCTTAAACGAGCAATGGCTGGAGTAAACCCAACCATTGCTCTCTAAGTCAGCTAAAGCTCCACCACACCATGGTCTCCGGCAAGGGAAATTAGCCGGTAAGCAACGGTACCGTCCGTCGTTGCTGATTTCGCATTCCTCGTTCTTACCAAGCCTAACCCACCGACCAGACCAAACGTCTCTGCCGAAATCAGACCGAACACATCTTCGAAGCTCCGGCAAAACAACGTCAGGTTTCTTGATAAACCGTAATCTGAAACTACGTAGCTTTCTATCGAAAGCGAAACGCGCGGGGCTTAGTTTAAGACCTTGAAAGTGACGAAAGAGCAAAACAACGGTGAGATTGTAATCTCCGGCGAAATCAGGATGAACCTGAAGAGATAAAGAGTAAGTTCCGTTTCCTAAATCTTTCACCGGTGGTCTCGATTTCCAGTTTTCGCCGGAGAGATCAGTCTCGAAGTAATCTCCACTGATACAAACTCGTTTCCCATAAACGTCTAAAGACTGAAATCTGAAATCGTGAATCTTACCAGCCGTTAACTCAACTAAATCCATCCCGTCGATTCCCGGAACTTGAATCTCGACAGTTTCTGCTTCTCTGCACTTCTCTCCTCCCGGAGCCAACCAGTTTCTGAGAAAATTCGCCGTGAAGTTCTGCTCTTGCTCGACGGAGATCCAGGAAAGCTTCACCCGGGTCGGATCCAGAACAAGAGGATGAGGTTTTGGTTTCAGTGAAGCAGGAGAAGTGAGTCGCATGGAGTAAGAGTTGAATCTCCACGATTCGATGAAGCTTTTGAGTGTACAACCGTCAATGCTCCATACGACAACCATTATGAAGAAGACGAGTGATGTTAGAGCGCCTAAGCTCCATTGATGAAGATGACTCAGCGCCGGAGACGGAATCACTACTTTCTCTGGCATCGGAAGAAGATGACGACAATAGGAAAGAAATCAAATTTGACGACACAGCGAATTCCAAGGTTGGATACTCTCGAGTAATTGTTTTCTCAGTTTCGATATTTCTCGAGAAAAGAAGAAAAAAAAAAAAACATTAGAAGTCCACAAAAAGTAATTAATTACTGTAGGTGAGAATTTAGGGATTGGTCGGCATGAAAGAACTCTATGGAGTTGCGGAAGAGACAAATTTTATGTACAGACGATTATACCCCGTGTCGTAGCTCCGAACCGGTGTGTGATTGATCGCGCCAACTAAGGAAGCGTGTGTTTAGTAGTCGCGTCGGCGTGACGTTTGGGAGCATTGCGGACACTATCTGGTTAAATCTTTAATCGGCCGTGTAGTGTACGGTGAGATTTTAGAGACAATATGTTGGCGTCACGTGTCTTGTTTGTTTGGTCATTGTCGGACCGCCGCTCACTATTTTTTTTTTTGCCGAAAATAAAAGTTAATTTAGAGAAATTTAGATTTGAGATTATAAACTTTCTAAATTAAAAATTCACAGTTTAGTTTTGTTGGGCTGCCATAATGCTTCTCTGAAGAAATTCTTTTCTTTTAACTGAAAATTTGTTGCTAAAAGTGAACCATCTTATTCCTGTTTATCGTCTTAATCCTTTTTATCGTCTTAATCTTTTTTTAGACTTGAAAAATCAACCTTTATGTTTTTGCTAAACAAAGAATCTACATATTTATCTTAGTTTGGGAATATTGGTATAAATATTTAGCAAAAAAAGGAAATAAATATATATTGGTATAAGTTTGACATTTATATCTATAAGAATGGAAATTTCTGATATTATCCTATCCTTTAACAAGTGAAATTCGGTGATAGTTTCTTGGGATATGTTGTGTTTCTGTCATCTACCTTATACTTTTGATTGCTTACTGATTCAGATTTTTTCATGTTCAAGCTGAATTTGTGGACTCAGCAACACAAGGCATATTGAAGAACGAAGATTATATAACAAGTAAACAATTTTGGTTCACGACAAAACAAAGCAAAAAACAAAAAAGAAATCGAGGATTATATAACAGAATGAAAAGTAAAATTTACTTTTTATGGAGAAATGATTATTAATCAGCCAGGAAGTCAATATTCAGATTTGAATTTTAAGTTTCATCCACATAAATCCAAAACTCAGATTTAGCTCCAAGGATCATCCCAACCACTGGGTCCTTCTCTTTTAACAAAACCAATAATGGCTTGAACAGCTTCATGAGTTCTATTGGAGAGAGAATGATTCCCATGCTCTATCTCCACTTTCTCTGCCCCACCCATTGCTTTACTTAATCTGTAAATCACACAGATATTATCATTCATCTATGATTGGTTTGTTCATGTGCAATCATTTCCATATCATTTTCATCCAAAGTTTCCATCAATAGTTCTCCTATTTTCGCTTAGATTCCTAACAGATGAACACAAAGACAACATCCTTGTATCATCAGTTCTAGATTCTTATTGTTACTTTAGTTGAATGGCCTCACCTATTAACCAATGCCTTTTTGTCGACATAATCTGGTACATACTCATCACCCATGGAGAAAATCACCTGCGTAGATACAGGACATTAGATGATATAATAAGCTTATCAGTGCCCAATTTACCACCACAAGTAACAGTTCTGTTAATCGGGACTGGAAATGCTTGAGATGGTTGTTTTTTGGTTGCGGTTTTGTTTTACCTGACAAGGTGTGTTAGCCATATGCCCAAGTCTAGTTTTCAACTGATCATCACTAAGGTCAGAACTAAACATATCGTCATCCCCCATGTAAGCGCAGAGGGAGTGATATCTGCAGGACGCGCAAAGGATAATTTTTTTGTATCTAGACATGTTTAAAACACATTTCTTCCATGTTCAAAGACATATAGAGGTTTACCTGTACGCAGAGATTGGAGCACAAGGATCAGCTTCTCTAGGCATTAGCTCCTCTCCTCGACCTTCTTTTATCATGTTTGCAGCCAAGTCTATCATAGTTGGTGTTTCAGGAAGCGTTGCTTTATACTCTCTATCGCTTACTGGTGCCTACATAGAAATATTGCAATTGGCAATATGAACTAAAGTCAAACATATGATACAGCACACAACACAAGACCCAACTTCAAGGCCTAACTAACACCTGCAAAATTGCAGCTCGGACAGCTCGGGAGCATGCAGCATTTGTTCCCATATAGTACACAATATCCTGTTTCACAGTGCGAGAAGAAAGAGTTTCTGTCATAAATTTTCTTACAGTACAGAACCATGAGGAAAACTGTTTGGGAGCATAACCAATCACCTGGCAGCCAGTGCTATGACCGAGCAGAACAACACCCTCGGAGTTCTCTTTGTTGATGAGATAATTTATTAGCTGGTCGATCTCTTGAGCATCCTTCATCAAAAGGGACAAGGATGTACTGTTAACTAAATTGCTGAATGGAGAAATTCTTGGCTTTTCCCCAGAGTCTAACAATATCACAAGGCAAGAAAATATTTACTTGTTTCAAGCTGGAAGTGCCAAATCCAGAATATGAAGACGACATCAATAGTTGAACGAGTGACCACTTTTCTTTATCCAAAGCAATTGCAAGAGGTTCCAAGTAACTGAAACGGCCAATTTGTGAATGTTCTATCAATTAATATACATGAAAAAAATGAGATTGGATAGGCAATTCATGCCAAAGGATAAAAATTTATATCAAAAAAGGAGAAGCCACATACTCAGTAGCTAAAAGTCCATCGGTTAATCCACCGATAAATATCACTTGTTGCTTATACTCTCCCGTCTTAAAAGCCACCTAGAGATACACGTGAAACAGACAAGCAAGCTGTTGTTACTACCAGAATTCTCATCAGCAAAATCTCAAGTAACATCCATTCTGAGTTTTCGGAAAGGAACGATCATTGTAATTTGTAAACTTTGATCACTGCTGCTATAACTAGTCAGCTCAAATGATGTAAAACATGAAACCAAGGTCTCTCACATGGCTTGGATCATCTAGTATCTCATTGATTTTCCTTAATTATTCAATAAACAAACCTCAAGCAACATGATCATTAAACAAGGTACCAATTTGGGACATGAAAAAAAAAAGTCAAAGTGAGGAAAACAAGCGTGTGATGAACACAATCGTTTGCCAAAAACTGTCTTGAAACAAACACAACAATGTATAAATTAATGAGAAATCTAGAACAAGCTACTTAAGTTTAAGTAAACCATGAGCTACGAATGTATTATAAAATATCAAAGTTTCCCCTTTTTGCTTTGATGGAACTCAAAAGCAACACAATTTAAACAAATTGAAATGAAGAAGAGAACCTGAATGGATTTGGGACCGTATTTAAACAGAACCCCACGAAATTGATTTTTCCCTTTGATTGGACCACCGTAATCTCCGCTTCCGCTTCCACCTCCAGCCATCGAAGAGCTTTTGGATAGCTTCGCGGTGCCGGATTTGTCACCACGGCCGCGAACGATTCCGGAGAACCAGGACGTGGTCGTGGAGGGTGAAGAAACTGTCGCCGTAGAAGACGATGATCCCGATGTCGAAGCCGCCGCGGTAGCAGCAGCGGCGGAGGAAGAGGTAAGCGAGAGAGACATTTTTGACTGTGTGTGGCGGTTTCAGATTTCGTTCTTGAGACCAAAAAAAAATGAAATGAAGCTTTTAGAGACTGAAGTGCACGCGCCGTCATGCGCGTGGTCAGAGAAAGTCGTTGGTAAACATGTAACGTCTAAACATTTAATTAGTCTACTTACTATCATCAATTAGACAATTACGATGGCTCATAATGATAATTATAATATTATGTTGTGAGATGATGATGTATGTGTATGAATTTTTGATAATAATTTTTTATTTGACATTTCAATTTTTTTTTTTTTTTTAACTTACAATAAGGCCTGATAATGAAAAAAAAGGGCCTGAGAATCTGAGATGAAAACTATTTTGGTATCCAATTTTCAATGTATAATTTCTTTGTAAAGCCCAATAAGATAAACAAACTAGGCCCATCTATTGACATATATTGTTACCTCGTAAGCCATATAAACTAGTGTGTGTGACTTGTATAAAATACAAAGCCTAATCCATCCGACAAAACAAAATGTATGATTCAGAGTTCACTAGTATGGTTTCTGAGAAAACAGAAATTTCCCATATCACGCCAAGTCGCCAACAATTTTCCCATACGTACTAGTGAACTAACTATTAATTTTTCTCTTCTTCTTCTTTAGTTTTGTTTAATCTTTTAGTTATTGGCACTTGGCAGTTTGGCACATAATTTTCTTATTATTGTGAGTAGTTAAAAGATTTTGACATACAATGATAATATATTTATCAGCGGTATTGTAGTAAGCAATAAAAAAAAAAAATGTATCAGCGGTATTGTAGTTGTTAATCATGAAACTTGAATATTTCTATGGTAAGTATGATTAGAAGAAGAAAACAACACACACAAGTATAAAAACTCTGATCCATGTTTGGTTGTATATTTCAAGAAAAGGACCAAAGCTAATGAACTCCTTTTGATAATGATATTGGAAATATATTCATAGAAACACGAATCGGAGTGAAGATAAATGCTACGTGCGTCCGAATCTAACTATGTTACGTATATAATGTAATTCTTTCTAATTTATATGAACGTCCATTATCGAATACTCTATCAAATCCAAACATAATGGGTGTAATTTTATCTTTATTTTACAAAAGTTGGTGATTCCAAAAGCAACCGTGTTGTGGTCGAGTAATCATTTGCAAATGACTACACATGTAGAAATTAAAATTATCTTTCTTTAATTTTATGGTCCAAAATACATATTACCATCTTCGTACGTATGCATGCATTTGTTTTTAGTACCACTACCACTAAATATATGTATTAACTAAAATGGGAGACTGGATTATTATTCTACTACCTATCTTTATCTAGTTTACATTCGTGCGGCGGAGGAACAACACTTGCAAGTTCTATCCAACAACTATACATGGCTTATCGACGGAGATTATGGATATCGCTATAAGCTTATGGTAAGTTCTTCATTGACGAAAATATTGATTGGCTATAAATTCAAATGATTTTTTTTTACATTTTTCACAATCTTAACCACTGATAAAAAACATTTCAAACCATTTTACTGTAAGTAACTAAATATAATTACAAATGTATAAGAGCCCTAGGCTCCTAGTTGAGCTTCCTAAAGGAATATCTTTGTTCATTCTCTTCTCAATCTGTTTATTACTTAATTTGTCTGCTTGTATATGTATTTATTCTTATGCCTCATAGGCCCAAATGGATTCCAAAAAAATTGTTATAAAATATGAGAAACCCTATCTCCACTTTGGACCATGATAACATTTTTAATTTTCAAAGGGGCACTCTAATCTAATAATTTTAATCAATATTTTGTTTTTTTCTATAAAATTTTGATAACTGTAAATATTACTACTGTTGAAGCGAATAAAACCTCGAATTTTTTTATTTTTTAAAAGAATAAAGGGTCGTGGTAAAGTCCTCGGCATTGGCCCCTTACCTAAGAAGTAAGAAGAAGAAGAAGAAACACTTAAAAGAATAGGGGAAAAAGAAAATTCCGAGAGAATAAATAGCTATCAATGTCAAATCTATGTTTCTTTTTAACGAGTGTACGGACACCTTTTCTTACCCAAAAATATAAGTTCGAATAACCTAATTAACATGTGTAAGCTTTAAGTCAAAAAATCTGGTCAATACTGAATTATGAGTGAAGAAGATGGTTGTTCAGTTGTTCTATTTACGATTGAAATGTTTAGTTAATACTACAAAGACATAACTTATAAACTGCTTTAGTTATTTTCTATACGTTTCGTCGAGTAATATTACTACCAAAAGGTTCTCTCTTTAGCTACTTATTTCAATGGCCATAATGACTTTTGATGATCCACCGTCTTGTTATATCAATCGATGTTAATAGTGATTAATTAAGCATCGAACAAACTTTTTTTTTTTTTGTCTTCACAAAGAAAAGCAAATTCCATTGCTCGTAGCTTTGTTGAAAATTAATAGATACTTTAAAATTGTTGTCACCTCGTGATTGCTACGTTTTTTATATGATGGATGATTAAACATAGACCCTTATTAACGAAATATTTAGTGTATGTAGGAATCCATTAGAGCCATTTCTTTTAGCTAAAGTTGACTATACCCATTTTGTATTTTTGGATACTTTAATCTGCAACTACACCATCATAATTATTGTTATTAATAGTTTAATATTATACCATTAGGCTATAAACTACCATAAATAAAATCAATATTTATCATATTAAAGTATATTATATAATTGCTTCATGAAAGCTATATAATATTACCCTCCATAAACAGCCCCACTTCTGTTTGGAGTTATATATATTTGTGTCACTTAGTTTTTTGTTTTTGTTTTCTTGTCAACCGGTAGACATTTTATTAAAATTCTATTTCAACATTACGTCAACCCCTACTTCGACCATGCATGTCATTTCTAGAATTAACACTATGCATATATATATTTGCATATATATAATTCCATTGTGCAAAATAAGATATAATGTATATTGAGTATATATATGTATAGAATTGGTACATAAATATTCAATACAAGATATATTATGCATGCATGAGTTGTAGATTATAATTTTTATATATCACCATTATTTTCTTGGTAAACTATGCAACAAGTTAATTAGTATAACTTTTCATTGAGTTTTTACATTCTTTCAGGCAGTATTTTTTGAGAAAAATATGATTATTTTATCTAATCTTTTTCCGATGCATTACTAAACATTTTTCATTGTAATATTTGCACAACAACCATCAATATTATATATTAACTTTGTTATATTCTCTTATAGTGGTGACCCACGTGAGGGACTTCTTCGATCGGAAAAAAAAAAGATAGAAAAAAACTCGACGTGGTCAATGGCCAATCAAATCTCAAAGTCTGACCTTAGAGGCTTTTGGTTGGTCCTTGAGGCCATAAAAATGGAATATTTTTTCTTATGATATACTTTTTTTTTATAATAACAAGCGTGCATGTAACTATTAAACTTTGTAATCGATAAACATTGTTTCGAAAAATTTGAACGACACTATACATCATCAATTTTATCGTTAGAGGTTAACCCAATATGATATCTTAATTTATTCATACACTAAACGTCAAATCAAAATATAAATTTAGTCCAACCCACTAACTTCAATTCATCATATATGATATAATCTATGTTTGTCTTAATGATAAGAACACTCGTACAAAATGATTTTTATATGAATTATGTCTCTTCTCATAAGATTTGTATCAGGTTATTTAAGTTTTGAGTAGTTATCTTTTCTAAGTTCCAGTGATGGGTTGGTTTTTTCATATTTGTTTTCTTGGTATATAAAATATATGAAGTGAATTGCAAACGAATCTTGTACTATTTGATTCATTTTTTGCATGCATGGTCACATTCAGTTTCCTAACAAAACACATCTTTATACGTTTAAAAACTTTTAGAATATTAAGTATTCATTAATTTTTGTGATTCTAGGCATATGAAAGAAAAAAAAAATAGTGCTTCAAATCTATAAATTTCAATCAAATCTGGAGGAATAATTTTTTTGTTCTAAGAGCTTTTAGGTTTGATAGGCTATTGATGTGATTTTTCCATCAAAAGTTTTCAATGTTTTGTTTACCTAAACAGTAAACACCCGTAACATTGTACTATATACATGTTTAAACATTTCAATTAAGAAGAGTTAGTGGCAATTAACAAAAAAACAAAATGGGTGTTTGGGAATAAGCCAAATAAGAAAAAGCGAAATACCGAAAGCCAAAAACAATAAAAGAGCTTCGAGACCTTAATTTATTCGAGTCAGAAATCGCATAACCAATATAGTTTTAGTTGATTCCACTAACTTTGAAATTATATTTCTATATTCGTATGTTAATAAGGTCCAATCAAACATGCTAGGGTATTTGAGATTTCTTCTATCGAGCAAATATTTTCTCGAAAAACTTTAGAAAATGGTTTAGAATTTTTGTTTTTGTTTTTTTCTTTAGCTTGCCTGCTGGTTTTGAACAATTAGCTATAGATTCACTGTCGTAGATGCTAAAGAAACAGTTCAGATGTCTTCAAAGAGGCACCATCAGAGTTGTTTCGACGATAGAAACAAACTTAAATCACTTTTGTTGTTTTCGTTATACTAATTAGTGACAGAACCAATCACACTCAATGATTCTTTAGTGAAGCTGTAGACCTGTAGTGATATATGTATGTATCATTTTGAGACACGTGTTATGGAGCAAGTGTCTGTAAAAATATATATAAAAACAAAACGAACAGCATGTCACTGTAACATTCCAGCCACTATAAATTCTTCGAAGCCCCGATCTTTCTTCATCAACATATGCTGGTTGAGAGAGCAAAGATCATAGTTTCAGTATCTCTATATATATTATATCATGCATACGTAAGTAACTATCACATACACACCTGAGCTAGAATCTTTAACTTGCCTCTACTTACATTTATTAACAAGAAAAAAAGAAGATTATATTGTTATAGCGATTGACAGGGAAGAGACAGTGCTCCGGGGAACAAGCCACTTCAAGGTTAGTAAAATCCGGGAACGGTGTCTCAACTTTGACCCCAAACGAATCTATTTGCATGTTATTATGCTTTCTTTCTAATTAGATCTGTCTTTAAAATATAAAATTATATATAAAATTTATCCAGCAGGGGAAGTTTTTATAAGAATGAAGCCATGCATGGCGACTCTAAGACAAGTGATTCATCAACCATTGTTAAACTTCCAAGGAAACATGGTCGACGTTCCGTTTTTCCGGCGAAAAGACAAGGTCGTTTTCGTCATGGGAGCCACCGGAACCGGTAAATCCCGTCTCGCCATCGACTTGGCCACTCGTTTTCCGGCGGAGATCGTAAACTCCGACAAGATCCAAGTCTACAAAGGTCTCGACATAGTCACCAACAAAGTCACTCCAGAGGAAAGCCTCGGCGTCCCTCACCACCTTCTCGGCACCGTCCACGACACTTACCAAGATTTCACGGCAGAGGATTTCCAAAGGGAAGCGATCAGGGCCGTCGAGTCCATCGTCCAGAGAGATCGTGTCCCCATCATAGCCGGTGGTTCTAATTCTTACATCGAGGCTTTGGTCAACGATTGCGTTGACTTCCGGTTAAGGTACAATTGCTGTTTCTTGTGGGTTGACGTCTCAAAACCGGTTTTACACTCGTTTGTCTCGGAGCGAGTCGATAAGATGGTTGAGATGGGACTCGTCGACGAGGTTCGCCGCATCTTTGATCCGTCCTCTTCTGATTACTCCGCCGGGATTCGCCGTGCCATCGGAGTCCCGGAGCTAGACGAATTTCTCCGGTCGGAGATGAGGAATTATCCGGCGGAGACGACGGAAAGACTTCTTGAAACAGCGATCAAGAAAATTAAAGAGAACAACTGTTTGCTTGCGTGCCGTCAATTACAGAAGATTCAGAGGCTTTACAAGCAGTGGAAATGGAACATGCACCGCGTCGACGCGACGGAGGTTTTCCTCAGGAGAGGAGAAGAAGCGGACGAGGCTTGGGAGAACACGGTGGCTCGCCCGTGCGCAATGGCCGTCGATAGGTTCCTAAACTACAGCGAAGACCACCATTTGGACCGCAACGATATTCTCCTACCAGAGATCTCGGCCGTTCCGCCGCTCCCAGCCGCCGTGGCAGCGATTTCACGGTGAAACAAAAAAAATAACAGATGGAAAATATATATATATGACAAAAAAGGGAAGTTTAAGAGCGGAAAAAGCCACAATAAATGACACGTGGCGAGATTGGTCGGAAAAAGGATATAACCAAGCCATGATAATGCCAGGTGGCGAGATGGGTCGACACTGTCTCGGAGAAGATGGTGACGTTTTCATTACACAACTAAAAAAAGTGTCTTCCGGTTTAACGGGAAAAAAACAAAAATCGGTTTTGAGGGGAACTGAAGCGCACGCGCGGGGCGGACGCAGAACAGTTGTTCCCTTGTGGTTTCTTTATTTTCCGGTATAGGTACTTTATAGGGCTAGGATCTGGTCCGGAATAGTGTACGGTTTATACGGTGGATTAGGCTATATAGGCTATATAAGACAAAAGATGTCGTTGGTCAACGCGGTTTAGCTCAATAAGAAAAAGAATAAAGAGGGATCTAACGGACTAAACAAAGAGTTTAAGTTTGGAACGGCGTGTTGCCGTCCGATACGTGTGTTTGGGTCCTCCAGTTGTGACGTGATGTGGTTACTACTAAATAATAATTCAATCAAACGGCTCTTAATTAGTGTTTTGTTTTATGATTTGTTGTTGTCTCTGTCCATTATATAGTTTTTGGCTGTTTATAAAAACAAAATTCATGTTTCATGGATAATCTTTTTAGCCTTTTACTATCTATTTATCAAGTTCGTTAACAAAGACGAATATGGATTAATTAAGACATAATAATACATCTGGCTTTTGTCCATAAGAAGAAAACATTAGTATAATCAAATCTTAATATTATTCCAAAGGAAGAGATTCTTGTGTGAGTTTGATGTGCCCACTACTACCCCCACCGGCCACCGCCACACACCGTTTCTCTCCATCTCTTACCCAAAATATGAAAACTCGCTTGACCTTGAATTCTAACAAATTGGCATAGCTTTATTTTCTATAATTAACCTTATATTCTTGACCCCAAGAAAAAAAAAATCCTTACAATATAACAGATACATGTGTGTACGGAAAACAACCAATACCAATCACCGAATTTCTTAAAGAAGCTATTGTTTGACGACAAAAAAGAAAAAAAAAAGATGCTATTGTTAGAATAATTCGATCCCACATACCTAAATGTGAAAACAATTTATCTTATTATCTACTATTCTCAGTCTTCCACTAACTTCCATGCACATCTTTGTTATCTAAAACATGACATCTATGTATTTATGATTGTTGCCTTGTTGGGATGTGTAAACGGTTTAGTTTCATTTCTCACGTAGTTTATTCTATCTTTCATGCAGTTCATCTGTCATACAGGAATTTCATGCATGTAGTTGAATTACCCGATATTCAAGTTTGTGACTGGCTGCATCGTAAAATTCTTGTTTATCAATTGCTACATGCTAAATCAGACTAGAGTGACAATTGGACAAATATGCAATTTCGAACTAGGTTTTTTGGTGTGAAAAAAACTAGCTGAATTTAGGTGATTTAATGATAAATTAACTTTAAAACCATGACTACTTATCAGTTGCACGCATTTGATTCGAGTATATATATACAAATCATATATACTAGAACATGTAATTTGTTAACTCGCTAACGATAGTTAACCTTATTGTCTACCACCAATACGCGTTCTTCGTACATTATGCTACCAATAGACAAATTATTATATTTCATAACTAAATTGCATTTGTTGAGGTATAAATATTGTAAAATTTTTAATAATTGGACCAAAATGTGTGATGAATGTCAAAAACTATTCCCATTAGCCAAGTTGCCTTACGAGTTTTGAATGCCTCAATTATTATAGCTTTGGTCTAACACGTTAGATGTATTCGAGCCACAAGCTGTTCTTCCTAACATAATATATTTTTTTTCCTTCTAACATTTCAATTATTACTTTATTTATCTTACAGCTTTTGCATCAATGCGTGTCGTCAAAGAAAACAACTCAATATCAATGGGCATTCTTGAATTATTTTCATTTTCTTAAGCGAATCCATGTTTTCGTTTTGTATTTTATTTCTTGTCGAGTGATTTGACTAACTCAGTTTTATTTAGGCCAAGTAAAGTAAGTTCCACTTCTATGTACTTTCAAATCAGTCATTATATAAAGCTAAGACTTTCATACTAAATGAATTATTTATTAAAGAATAACTTACACGATCGAAGAAACTGTTATTTGGAAAGATGCATGCATTAGTCAGTTAAGTCTCATCATCTTTGAAATCTGAAGACAAAGTTATATGGGCAATATTAATTAATGATTAAGTATGTTTATATGACAAGTTGCTAATCTTTATTCTCGTGTGGTATTGGTGGAATTATGAAAATAACATCGCGAATTAGAGCAGCTAAAATAGCAAGTACGAATCTTAATTCTCGACCACTAAAAGAATTTACATTTTTTTTAAAATTTACAATTTACTGGCCAGTGAGTCAGTGACTCTCTCAGTCAAGCAAACATCAACTGAACTCATTTTAAATGGGCTGAGATATTAGGCCCAAATTTCCAGTTAAGCCTAATGGATAAGCTAATGAGCCGAAAATAAACTAAAAACTGTGTTGTAGAACTTTACCTCTCTCCTTAAGGTTTTGTCGCCGGTGACTTACTACTCGACGGAGATGGCACTATCTCAGTCGATTTCATTCCCGACTGTACACAATCACCAATTCTTTGGACCATCTCAAAATCAGAGAACGTTGACTCTATCAATGACGGAAACTCCGATATATCGTTTGGTTTCTTCATTTCAAACGGCGAGAAGCAAACCCTGTTCTCCTCTACGGACCATCAGCTGCGTCGCCGGAGCTAATTCGTATGATGAAATTGGAGAAGTATCTTCTTCTCTCTCTACTTCGATCACTTCAATTTTCGTGAAGGGTACGCCTGATTTCTGTTTTTGTATGTAGCCAGGTTTATACCAAAACTGAATCCACTTTTTTGGGTTATAATGATCTACAGGGATTCCAGATTCAGTTAGTGAAGGTCGGTTAAAGATAGTCTTCTCTGAGTTTGGACAAGTTAGCAATGGTGAGTCTGTTTCTTTAATGGAATCACATTTTTAGCTTCAGATAGGAGTCGTATACACGAGTCATCATGAAGCAGTTGTTAAGACTAATAGGATTGAGTTAGGGAGGTTTCAGTCATCACACACGCTCTGTAGTGTCTTTGTGGTTTTCTTCGCTGGAGAACATAGAATTGTAAAACATACACTAATTTGGTTAAGGAATTTGCCAGCACGATCTTGTTTTCTTACAATGCTTTAAACTATTTTTTTTGTTGGCAGTGAAAATCATCATAAACGAAAAGACTCAGCAGTCTCTAGGATATGGATATGTTTGGTTCAACAGCAAAGAGGATGCACAGTTGGCTGTGGAAGCTATGAATGGAAAGGTATATTACAAGCTTCTTTGAAACTCAATAAACATGTTTACTCTCTGCGGTTGGTGGTTCATGCTTTGGTAGGTTGTCAAGGATTGTTTTGCAAGAACTTGTAGCTTGATCCCAGGTTTCAAGAACCTGATAAGAACTTGAAAACTCTCGACCAATACCATAACCCGCCCGAGACTAGCCTCATATCCTTAATTCTAGATTTTGGTTTTGAGATGCTTGAACAAATAACATAAAATTGTTATTGACAGTTGACACTTTTTTTTTTTTTTGCTGGTTTAGTTCTTTGATGGCAGGTTCATTCTTGTTAAATTTGGTCAGCCTGGATTGTCCCGTCACCGTAAACCACATTCCGGTTTCCTTTTTGTAAATAAATCATAAATCATCTTAAATGAGCGAATGTAATACTAGTACTATGTAACTCGGATTCCAAAGGTCGGAAGTAAATCAAGTAATCAATATCACATTGAATTCAAAGTTCTCTCTTATGCGATTTTTATGGCTACAAGTAAACAAACAAAAATTCATCAAAGTACTGACGGAGATAAAAAGAAAACTTAATGACTTCTTCGACTGTCTTAACTCTTGGACACCTAAACACTTCATCCGTGACTAGATTTGACTCGATTCATTTACGTGAATCAGTCTTAAGCTTATACTGTTGTAGAGCCTAACAACGCTTTTACGAATTCCAAAAACCCACTTAACTACGTAAATCAAGCATCTAAACACGTTAATGTTTTTACATTTTGATATTTAACAATTTCGTTCAAATTCTTACTACATTACATTCTATATCTATCGGTCGAGAAGCAAAGTGTCGGCAAATTTATTCTCGTTTTTCCACATTTTTATTTTTATTTTAAATTGAATATTTTTTCTAATATTACTTCTCTCGTGACTCTTTATATTTCCACAAAAAAAAAAAATTTCTCAAAATTTTAAAATTTATTGCCGAAATGACGAAACCTATACATATAAAAAGTTATATGTAAAGAAAAGCGGCCATCGTCTTCCTCCTCCTCCTAACATGCTCCGTCTCCTCCTTGTCTCCGCCACGACCGCCACCGCCGCAGAAGACGCTTCCGCCAGCATGCCCCCATCCTCTAGATCCGCTGCTAAACAAAGCTCCTCCTCTTCTCTCCATCTCTGCAAGCATTCACCGTCGGCGACCCTCGACCTCTTAATCCTAATCCTCGTCCTCTTCTCCGGCACATTCCTCCTCTCCTCTTACTTCTCTTACCTAATCCACTCTTTATCTCTCCTCTCCTCTCATTTCCCTTCAATCGCTCTCTCTTTCTCCTCTCTCATCCCTCCTCTCATCTTCTTCTCCTCCGATCACGATCACGATTCCGACGATGACGATCATCATCTCTCCGGAATACCTTCTCCTCCGGTGTCGTTCTTCTTCGCGTTCGCTGTCTTCTTCGCGGCGTCGGTTGCGTTTCTAGACCTATGCTGCGGATCAAGATCGAGGAAATGTCGTAACCCTAAGTGTAAAGGATTGAAGAAAGCTATGGAGTTTGATTTGCAGTTACAGACAGAGGAATGTGTTAAATCGGGTTCGGTTAAGGAGATTGATCGGTTGCCGTGGAAAGGAGGTAGTGAGAGCAATCCTGATTACGAGTGTTTGAGAGATGAGCTTAGGAAGATGGCTCCGCTTAATGGTAGAGCTGTTTTGATTTTCCGATCAAAGTGTGGTTGCTCTATTGCTAAGCTTGAAGGTTGGGGACCTAAGAGAGGTCGCCGTCATAAAAAGTAAGTGCCTTTCTAACTCAAAATTGTTGTTAGTCATGTTCTTGCATTGGTTTGTGAATTTGGTTAGTTGGAATTTGGTGACTAGTGAATCTGTAGGTTTATGCAATTGCCATTAATTCTGTTCTTGCAACGTTTTTTGTGCCATTGATCATCAGTTTGAGACCAGTTACTGAAAAATCCTTTGGCTTTGATACGCATTTCTGATCGACTATGGTGCTTATTCCAGTTGTAATGATGAGCAGAATTGTCAATTTATGGATAGATAGTTTTCCGATTATGGGCTTCAAAGATATGCTGTTATCTTTTGGCAGATTGAATCTTCTTTCTGAGAGATCAAAGAAAAACAATTGAACATGGCTCTAGTTGTCTGATGTAAATGTTTGTCTGGTTGGAAGAGTTAGCTCACATGCAGCCAATGCTATAATCATGGAACATGTGTATCATGTACCAGATGCGATTTGAAATCTCCCCGATTTCACTTTTATCTAGTTGTGTAAAGTTCAGGTCTTCAGTTTGGGAAACCTATGTAATAGCTCAACTGGATAACGAGATGCCAAAAAGTTATAAGCTTTAGGATCAGGTTTAGAGTATGAAGTAATGGGTCAGTCAATACTGTGAAGAAAGCGGGAAATGTTTCTTCTGCCTCACTGAGATTTTTCTAAAAGGATTTAAGCTATTTTGAAAGAGTAAATTCATAATTTTGCCATGAACATGTCCATTTCTGTTGAGAAGTGGTTCCACTCGATAGACTTGCGTTTACAATATGGCTAGCTTCTAGTTTATTGCCTACCATAGAGGAAACACCTCATTTCTATCTGTAACAAATATATGTATTTACATCTTCTAGTACTTTGCTTTCTTATTATCTTGGTGATTCCTGGATTCATCGTAAAGGCCAATGATTCTTGATTATAAACAAAGCTTTTAAGGATTCCGGTTTGATTCGCTGTGATATTCAATCTTCTGCTGTGTCTCTTACTTTGTTTGCACCTATTCTCTGCAGATCGTCGGCAAAAATAGCTGTAAAGGGATGTGTAGACAATCGCTGATCCGGAAACTTTCCAGTGTATACTTAGAGATATGTCACATTAAAATGTTGCAGTTGCAGATATACAATTCCAGAGCTTCTTCTTCTTCTCGGATTACATTGATTCAAAACTTTGGAGGAAAATATAAAATTATTGTTTATTTCTCCATTTCATATACAGTAGTTAAATCCCTGAAACTAAATAGATCTTGATCACTTCCTCTGTGGAATCAACTAATATATATACTCAGAAAATTCCAATGCCAATTTCAGATGTATTTTTCGTTGCATTTAATATTTTTAGTCTTTTATTAATGCATATAATAATGATTTATTTTTGTTCCTGAACAAACCAGAAGAAACTATATACAGTATCTATACTATGTGAGCTTAGAGGACGAGAGAAAATTATATAAACTCGAACTTGAAGGTTTAGTTTTGTTGCTCTCATGGTCTCATATGATCAAATCGATCCACGTTCACCGGTTTCGTTGGTGTTGGGTCGTGTTTCCTCAGCAGGCGAGATGTTTCTCTGCTCCTTGTCTGAACCAATTCGATTTCTCCGGCGAGAGTCCCAATAGTGAACGAGTACTCGTCTCTGCTCTTGGATCATGCGCTTCCAGTAATGACATATCTTGTGGCCGACAAATACATGGCCGTGTTTTAAAATCTGGTCTTGATTCCAATGGATATATCTGCAATAGCGTTCTTAACATGTACGCTAAATGCCGTGTCTTGGCAGATGCAGAATCTGTTTTTCGAAATCATGCGAAGCTTGATTCTGCTTCATTCAATATTATGGTTGATGGGTATGTCAGATCTCGTCGACTTGGGGACGCGCTTAAGTTGTTCGACGTAATGCCTGAGAGAAGCTGTGTTTCGTATACTACTTTGATAAAGGGTTACGCTCAAAATGATCGGTGGAGTGAAGCTATGGAGCTTTTCAGTGAGATGAGAAACTTGGGAATTATGCTAAATGAAGTGACTTTGGCCACTGTTATATCCGCTTGTTCACATTTGGGTGGGATTTGGGATTGCAGGATGTTGCAGAGTTTAGCTATAAAGCTGAAGCTTGTTGATCGGGTCTTTGTTTCGACGAATTTGCTGCATATGTATTGTGTCTGCGCATGGTTGAAGGATGCTCGGCAGTTGTTTGATGAAATGCCTGACAGAAATTTAGTAACCTGGAACGTGATGTTAAATGGGTACTCAAAAGCTGGACTTATCGAACAGGCTAAGGAATTGTTTGCTCAGATTACTGAGAAAGATATTGTCTCGTGGGGAACCATGATTGATGGGAGTCTCCAAAAGAATCAGCTTGATGAAGCTTTGGTTTTCTACACCGAGATGTTGCGCTGTGGAATGAAGCCTAGTGAAGTTATGATGGTGGACCTTCTCTCGGCTTCAGCTCGAGCATCGGGCAGTTCAAATGGCTTGCAACTTCATGGTACCATCGTGAAAATGGGTTTAGATTGTTATGATTTCATACAAGCAACGATCATACATTTCTACTCCGTCTCTACTGACATGAGACTCGCTCTTCAGCAATTTGAAGTAAGCATTAAGGACCACATTGCGTCAAGAAACGCGCTGATTGCAGGATTTGTGAAGAATGGAATGGTTGAACAGGCAAGAGAAGTATTTAATCAGACTCGTGATAAAGATATCTTTTCATGGAATGCTATGATATCGGGTTACGCACAGAGTCTTTCGCCTCAGTTAGCTCTTCATCTCTTTAGCGAAATGATCAATAGTAGCCAAGTGAAACCAGATGCAATCACAATGGTGAGTGTTTTCTCTGCAATTTCAACTCTAGGATCACTGGAAGAAGGGATAAGAGCACACGAGTATCTAACCCGTAGCTCAATTCCTCCCAACAACAATCTAACTGCCGCTATAATCGACATGTATGTCAAATGCGGTAGCATCGAAACCGCTCTAAACGTTTTTCGTCAGACAAAGAGCATCTGCTCGTCAACTATCTCTCCTTGGAACGCAATTATTTGCGGGTCTGCGACACATGGCCATGCAAAACTAGCTCTTGATCTTTACTCTGACCTCCAATCTCTCCCAATTAAACCGAACAGCATCACATTTGTAGGTGTCTTGAGCGCATGCTGCCATGCAGGCCTAGTGGAGTTAGGTAAAACGTATTTCGAAAGCATGAAAAGAGATCACGGGATCAAGCCAGACATTAAGCATTACGGATGTATGGTTGATTTATTGGGGAAAGCTGGGAAATTAGAGGAAGCAAAAGAAATGATCAAGAAGATGCCAGTAAAGGCGGATGTAATGATATGGGGGATGCTATTATCGGCTTCACGGACTCATGGGAACGTCGAGATCGCCGAGCTTGCGGCAAACGAGCTAGCGGCAATGGATCCATCTCACGGAGGATGCAAAGTGATGCTTTCGAACGTTTATGCAGACGCAGGGAGATGGGAAGATGTAGCTTCGGTCAGAGAAGAGATGCGGACGAAAGATGTTGAGTGGTCACGTGCCTTCAGTGGTGTTGTTTGAATTGTGTCTCGAGTCTCTTTACTGGGCCTTGTTTATGGGCCTAGTAGAAACGAGTTAGATACATAAGCGCCGCGTGGATTTTCTGTTTTATAATATTGTCCAAACGAAAACGCTTGTATTTTTTATTTTGATATTCTTCTCATTTTAACCAAAGAAAAATGATTTCTTAACATTAGAAAATAAAACTAATGTAGTAATTTGAATCGTTCAGTTAGTTATTCGGTGAAGCTTGGCTTCTAATCGCTGCGTTGAATAAACAATAACGACTCTTTAACTATTTTTTTTTGGTAAGACGACTCTTTAACTTTTATTAATACAGAAAAGAAACAATGATTAGTGAAGTTAAGAAAAAGATTAATTATTAGTTTTTGGTGTTTTATGGATAGCTCATAATAAAAGTCATGTGATGCACATGGACTGAAGCATTTCCACGGTTCTTTATGTCCCTTCGTCCACCCCTTGGTTTATTTTGGATTTGTTTATTATCTGAATATGAAAATCAAATATTCTTGTTTTATTAAAATTAATTTATCAGCTGGTCTTATTTTTTATTTTTTTGGGTATTTTATTGATTTTTTTGGCGATTATTGTTATCTATCATGAGATATTTTCAAAATATAACCAAAATATATATATATATATATATATATATATATAAAAATATGATGTTAATATGATCAAATACACATCTTAAAATAATTAAAATAAAAGTTACACTTATTAATTTCAGTTGTAATTTATAAAAGTTAATTTCAATTAACACAAAGATAATCACGCACAATGATTTATAAAAGAACAAATTTCTCATAAAATCATAGTATTTCTATTGAATCAGGTGATATGTGTTACACCCGACCGTATCATCTAATATTCCTAAACGTACTTGTGAATACAAAAACGTTGTATCGTAGTTAAAACAGAGAATAAACAAGTTCAAAGATAGATTTTATAGCGCTCACAAATCAAATTTAATGTCTATGATATTTGGACTATAAATGAAATGGACTAAAGTGTGTAGTTGAATTTTTTTTTTGATTCAAAACATAGCTAATAAATAAAAACATGTACAATCTCGATTTTCAAAGAGTTTGATAGATAAACAAAGAAAAATAATAAAGAAAATATAACTATGTATGGACAACATGTGTCAATCATGTACATCAATATTAGACCATCTCTATTAGTCATTTTTTTTATGGATGTCTACATATTATAATTAATTTTAAAGACAAATGATGTTAAAATGTCTTTAAGTAGGCACATAAAGACATTTTTTTAGACTTTAAGACATTCACAAAAAATAACCCATGGAGATGGCCTAAGGAACATAAAATTTGAACACGTTTGTTGTACACAAAATCCAAAATTTATGACACTCACTATATCAAGTCTAATTATGTTTGCAATGTTTGAACTATATCAAGTCCATTGTCTCCAATATATTATTTACTTCATTCTCATTTTAACAATCACAATATAAGATAAATTTATCAAATTTTAAGGGCAGATGTTTGATAAAGTTCAACATTTACAAATGGTAAAATAATAAATCTTAATTTATGTAAATACAAAACGAGATATAATTAAAACAAAAAAAAATATTATTATATTAATTAAATTATCAATAATCTTTGATTACTTAAATAAAAATAATTAGTTAGATGATTGTATAAATTTTTCTATCTAAAAGATAATTTATCTTCAATTCCACGATCATTTCCTAAATCTTTGCCAGTTTAACCTTTTATTTTAGCTTGTTGGATACTGTTTTTTTTTTTAATAATTCCAACTAAGTTTTAAAGGGATAATTGAATAAAGTTTGTAGGCTTTTCCTTTATTTTTGACTTCCAATCAGGGTTTGTAGTTGTAAAATGCACCCTTGAATATTTAAATAAAAATAATATAATAGTTTAAACAAAAATATCCAAATATTGTAATCTCAAAATGTACCTTTGCTTTTATAAATATATTCAGATGACAAAAAAAAAAAAAAAATATTATTGTGGTTTGGACATTATCCAAAGCAAGTTTTTGCAACAGTCGCGAGTACCCATAAACCTGGGGGCAAATTGGACTTTTCGTACTTCGATAATCAGACTCCACTTATCCGCTTTTTCAATTATCACACCCCCAAAAAAATAAAACATAAAATAATAAATCATATTAATACAAGAGAACATCGTAGTTGTTCTGTTTCTCTCTTCTTCATCTTTATACATTTTAGATCTCTCTCTCTCTCTCTTTCTCTCTGCACTTTCTTCTTTCAAAACTATCTCGCCTTGTGAGATTCAGATCCTATAAACGAACTTGCTAAGCTCAGAAGGATCAATTTTTTTGGTTTTTAAAATCTTCTCTCGGCTTTCAACAGCTGTCTCCATTTTTCTTTGCAATTTCCAAGAGTGTGTGCGATTGATCGACGAAGAAGAAGATTAAAAACCTCGTCTTTCTTCAATCTCAGAGTGATTCTCAAATTTTAACCATCCAAAGTTTGTATTTTTTTTTGTTTCCCTTCTATCTCTTCCATTGATTTCACTTCAAAAGCAACGAAATCTCGATTAGGTATTCCTTGCAGAGATTTGCCTCCTTAGTTCTCCAGAACTATTTCTTCATTTCCTTTTGATTCTCGATTTAGGTATTTGGATATAGAGCTTTGGGTTATTTTTTGACATTGCGTTGGAATTACATAGTTCTGTAGACTTCTTTGTTGCATTTTTCGAAGCTCACCAAGTTTTAGTAGACTTCATAACCGTAATTTTGGATGCTCTGTAGCTGAAGATGCAACCTGATCAACGCAAAAAGGTCCAATTCTATCTATATATATTTATTTCAGATTTGCTTATTAGAGAGATGTGAGATCTCATTATGTTACTTAGGATCTGTAACAATCCTTATTACACGCTTACCAACTGGCTTCTAGGTTTAGTCCTAATCGTTACTAGCTTTGATCTCTTATTCAGTCATCAGTGGAGTTAGATTTCTTTACGGAGTATGGTGAAGGAAGCAGATACAGAATAGAAGAAGTAATTGGTAAAGGAAGCTATGGAGTTGTCTGCTCGGCTTACGATACACACACTGGAGAGAAAGTTGCCATCAAGAAGATCAATGATATTTTCGAGCATGTTTCGGATGCAACTCGCATTCTCCGTGAGATCAAGCTTCTCAGACTTTTACGCCATCCAGACATTGTCGAGATCAAACACATCTTGTTGCCCCCTTCAAGGAGAGAGTTCAGAGACATTTATGTTGTCTTCGAGCTCATGGAATCTGATCTGCATCAGGTTATTAAGGCTAATGATGATTTGACTCCTGAGCATTACCAGTTTTTCCTCTATCAGCTTCTCCGTGGCCTCAAGTATATACACACAGGTTAAGCTTGCAACAAAAAAAATCACAGATTAGCATAAGTTTTGGATCATTTTTTTCTGAAGATACGTTTTTCTTTTTCCTTTCAGCTAATGTCTTTCATCGGGATCTAAAACCCAAAAACATATTGGCAAATGCTGATTGCAAACTCAAGATCTGTGATTTTGGACTCGCAAGAGTTGCTTTCAATGATACACCAACTGCGATATTCTGGACTGTGAGTAGTAATTAAATGCCTACACTTTACAAGATCACTTCTTTTTTCTTTTCTTTTTTTTTCTGGTATGAAAACTAAATTGCTTTGTGATTGCAGGACTATGTAGCTACTCGATGGTACCGGGCGCCAGAACTATGTGGATCCTTTTTCTCAAAGGTAACCATGATTGTGCATATATTCTTTTATTCAATGTTTCTAATCTTTTTTTATAGGAAAATAGTAGTCACTAGAGCTTTATTCTGCTGATTGTAAACTACTTTGTAGTAATGTTTTTTTTTTCTTTTGATATTTGCTTATGCTCAGTATACACCGGCAATAGATATATGGAGTATCGGGTGCATTTTTGCAGAGCTCTTAACAGGGAAACCTCTTTTCCCGGGGAAAAATGTGGTCCATCAATTGGATCTGATGACTGATATGTTGGGAACTCCATCTGCCGAAGCCATTGGAAGGGTCAGTGTCTGTTTCCACAATGCTTAACACAGCTGCATTGTTTCTTTTTCTTGGCTGAATTGCTTGCACTTGAATGTGACAGGTGAGGAACGAGAAAGCTAGACGGTACTTAAGCAGCATGAGGAAGAAGAAGCCTATTCCTTTTTCACATAAGTTCCCACATGCTGATCCTCTCGCTCTTCGTCTTCTCGAAAGGATGTTGGCTTTTGAACCCAAGGATCGGCCTACAGCTGAAGAGGTGGTTCACACATTTTGTTCATTACACTCCTTATGATGTCACTTTGGTTGTAGACTAAAATTATGGTTTTGTGTTACCTTAGGCACTTGCAGATGTATACTTCAAGGGCTTAGCTAAGGTTGAAAGAGAGCCCTCTGCTCAGCCTGTCACAAAGTTGGAATTTGAGTTTGAAAGGCGGAGAATCACTAAAGAAGACGTTCGAGAGCTCATATACAGAGAGTCTCTGGAGTACCATCCAAAGATGCTTAAAGAATACTTGGATGGATCAGAGCCAACTAACTTTATGTACCCTAGGTATAGTCCTGAGCTGATCTGCTTCATAACTATATTCTTGTGTACTCATCCATGACCTTTTGAATTATTTGTTATTCATTCCACAGTGCGGTGGAACATTTCAAGAAACAGTTTGCTTACCTCGAGGAACACTACAAGAATGGTACGACTCATAATCCCCCTGAGAGGCAGCAGCACGCATCATTACCAAGGTATGCTTTACTTCCCTTAAATTTTCTTATAATTTGGGATTCTTTTGAAACAACACAATGAAGTCTCTTTTTTTTTTTTTTGGCAGGGCTTGCGTATTGTACTCTGATAACAATCATCCAATGGCACAACAGAATTCAGCTGAAGTCACTGATGGACTTTCCAAGTGTAGCATTAGGGACGAGAGACCTCGAGGTGCAGACAGGAATGCCCAGATGCCAATGTCGAGAATTCCTATTAACGTCCCTCAAACAATCCAAGGTCTCTCACTCTGTCTGTATATAATGTTGTTATGCAGAACAACTCTTTTTCCTTAAACATTTATCTGGATGTTATTATGCACTACAACTCTGTTTTATAAACATTTATCTGGTTGTATTGAAACAGGTGCTGCAGTAGCTAGGCCTGGAAAAGTAGTTGGGTCAGTGTTACGCTATAACAACTGCGGTGCAGCCACAGGCGTTGAAGCTCTTGAACAACAGCGTAGGATGGTTAGAAATCCAGCTGCCGCTTCGCAATACCCAAAGAGGACTCAACCTAGCAAAAGCAACAGAGCAGATGAAGATTGTGCCGCTGCCGAAGGTCCAAGCAGATTGAAACCAAACACTCAGTATATACCACAGAAAGTGGCTGCAGCACAAGATACTGCAATGAGTCGCTGGTACTAGACATTATGTTTTGATCTCGTTGAAGCTTTACCACATAATGTCTTACCGAGAACTAAAGGAGAAGGTCCATTGAACCATCCATCGCATTATCAAGAGAGCGAAACATGAAGAGAGTAAAACATGGCTTAAGTGAGATGAGAGAATGAAGGGTGAGAAGATAAAAGAAGTCTTCTTATATAGCTTCTGTCATGTATCCATAGTAGCTTTGTATTCTTAAGACAAACTTTGTTTATCGATGTTGTAACAGTCATATTGCCTACAATTCTTATAACCCGTGAACTCATATCTGTTTCACCTAATACTATGTTAAACAATGAGAAATAATTCCCAAATTTCATTGGATATTGATTTATGAGAAAAACATTGAAAAAGATTCATTGTAATTGCTGGATTGGATTAGATCAGCTATATTATCCTTAACAGAGATTATACAATGCACAAATCTTTCTTCAATCTCTACGTTCAGTGCAACCGAGGCTTCACTCGTCTTCCATTAGCATCACAACCATCAGCAAATATTTCTTTTCGATGCCCAGAAGCTATAACAGAATGTTCACTCAGCCTTGCCACATACTCCAATAGCTCAGTTAGTAAAGACGGGCAACTCTTTTTCAGATAATCAAACCCATCTGTTTGCATCACAGCTGGATAAAACAAAAGGGAAAAAACATAAACAATAATTCTTATGTGTGAATAGAGAGTTAACTCAGATCGATCTTACAGCAAAAAGAAAGATCTTGTGTGTTTACCTTTCAGGTTCTCTGGCAATGCCACGAATTTGAGACACACTGCTTTTAGTTGGGAACAATGATGCTGCTCCGCTAGGGCCAAGGTAGTTGCAACTGTGTTTACGGCTATCCCTTCACAGAGTTTTAACTCACAGATTGCTTTAAGCCGCTCAAGAGCATAGCGGTCTGCCGCTGCAAGCAGATGCTGAGCTATAAGAGTAGACGCCAATGTAGAGTCAGCGCCCATTAACTCTTCCATATCAGGCAATTCGTCCCAGTAGATAAAATGGAGCAATACCTGCACAAACAACAATACAACATGGGAAAGAGGGTTTGTATCAGGTTACACATCCAGAGTAAAACTAATGTACCTAGAGGAAGCGACATAAAGAAATATTGCGACAAAGGGAAGACAGAAAATTGATATTATACATCACAAAATTTGAGAATCTACAATTAAATACACCCACGAGATATTAACTCTAAACCCACACGCCAATCTCTTATCCTATCCTGAAGATCCATATTGTTCATCTAGTTGACTGATTGACTTACATAAATACGTCAACAGAAAAGGAATTACACATCATAACCACATAGAGATATGTCCAATTAAACAATAACAAAACAGACATCCATGCAACCAACTAGGAAGAGAAGCAGTAAGAAAGAACCTTATCCCGGGTGAGTAAACTCGAGAACAGGAGTGGCGCCCCAGGAGAAGATCCCGGATGGTACATCCGTGAATAGACAATCCTGTATGACACCACCATCACTCACCCGAAAAAAAAGGCAAGGAACCAAGAAAAATCTATCTCTACCTATAAGACCATGTAAGACCCATTGACTATAATAGATAATCTACTTACACATTCCCAGATCTAAGAGATGTAATCCCAGAAAGAGGGTTAAAGGAAGGACCTTGAAAATGGGTGCTTGCATGTCTTCTATCGTTATGCATTTGGTATTTCGATCTCCTAACGGGCCAAAAAGCTGTGCCTTGAAAACTGGGGAACGCGTTGCAAGAACCAATTTGTGTGCGTTGAATGTTTCCCCATCAACTTGGAACATAACATCACAGCCTTTCCCACTTTCCAGAAGATTTCCCAACTGTTGTCCCAAGTTAGAGACTGGCACAGGGATATTGTAACACCTTGGCCCCTCCGTGACCGACTTCACCACACCCACACGGCACCTAACCAATAGACTATTCTCCTTCAAATAATCCGACGATTCTAAACTGGACCTCCTGAAAAACCGTTTGTATCCCCTAAACCAAGCAACCAACAAACACATTATCAACATTGGAAGCAACCAACACATACCAATCTATCACAATTCCATAACCAGACATCCTAAATTCATCAAAAATAAATCGTGAACTACTATAGCAAGCTTGAGACTTTTCATGCAAAGAGAGAGAGAGATACTCACCACATGCTTCCACGATACTTGAGAGTATAAGGACCGCTTTCAAGAGCTCTACCAAAATGGCTATGAACCTTATGCTTCCCATTACCACTCTGATCCACAAGCGTGAGCTCAAACAGAGCCCTCACATCAGCTCCTTCGCTAGCGAGTGCTATGAACAAAGAAACGTAAGACGAGTTATCCTCTGGACTCTTCCCATCAGGATAAAAGTAGATTGCCCACGAGTAACCACCGATCATAAACGTATCGGAAGCGACGTATTTGCCGACACCAACCCCTTTGGCGAGGGAATAGCCACAGATCTTGAACTCATGGAAGCCATTGACGGTTTCCGTGGTCGATGTCGACACCGTGAGAGACTGGCTAAGCGATTTCGAAGATCCAGAAGAAACATCCGCGCAAACCCTAGTTGTGCCCATCAACAATACGAGGATCCCAAAAACAAAAAGAAATCTTCTATCTAGACAAATCTCAGACGGAATCAAATCAAAATCTTGAAATTTTAGGAAGAATACAGAAAAATAAAATAAAAAATCCAGATTCAGGAGGGATCGAAAAAAAGGAATATTTTTTTAGGGGTTTTGAGAGAAATCAGAAAAGGAACGAAATTGGAGTCAGGAATCGAAAGAAGAGAAAGACCGGAGGGGTTTGAGAATCGACGGAAGTCTCCGGCAGAGAGGGAGCGTAAGGGTAGATCGATGACGTCGGTGGAACTGAAAATGAAAAAGAAATTGGAAAGAGAAAGAGAGAATGAAAGAACGAAAGTGATACTTTGGGTTTTTATAAAAACAGAGAAGGAGAGAAAGCTGTAGCCAATTATAACACATCTTTTTATATTCAACTAATTAAGTCAGTAAATATTATTTTATTTACGTGCAAAAATCTTAATGTGCACGATATAAAAATGGAATAATACGAAAACTCTTCTCTTTACCTTTTTTTATATTATTTTTTTGGAAATTTTCCTTTTTTAAGTGCTTTTCACATCTCTTTGAGTTGGGTCTATTCTGATGGGTGGGTGGGTCAAACCGGAGATAAAGAGTTCACCGTCAACGCCGAGAATGTTCGTCCTTTGATCCCCAAATGTTTCGTAAACTCTCTTCTTCTTCTCTCTTCCGTTCAACAATCTTACCAATTTCAACAAAACCCATCTTCAAATCGCCCCTTTATCCTCAAAATCTCCGTCGTCGGCTCCTCTGTTCCTCCTTAAAAATGTCAGATTTACCTAAATCCCTCTCTGTTTCATCAGCAACCAAGCCCGAGTTGCTTCGATCACTCGAATCCCATCTGGGTTCTTGCTTCAGCACCGATCCGATAACCCCTCCACCAAACCCACTTATCATTGTGATAAGTGGAGCAAGCGGAGTTGGTAAAGACGCGGTCATCAACAAGCTTCGACAAGTTCGTGAAAGTCTCCATTTTGTCGTCACAGCTACGAGCCGTCCGATGAGGCCTGGAGAAATCCACGGTAAAGATTACTTCTTTGTCTCGAAAGATGAGTTTTTGTCAATGGTTGAGAAAGATGAGCTTCTTGAGCACGCACTCGTGTACGGAGATTACAAAGGGATTCCTAAGAAGCAGATTCAAGAGTTCATGGGTAAAGGGTACGACATTGTTTTGAGAGTTGATATCCAAGGAGCTAAGACGTTGAGGAAGATTCTTGGGAGCTCTGCTGTGTTTGTTTTCATTGTTGCTGAGAGTGAGGTTGCGATGGTTGAGAGGTTGATTGATCGGAGAACAGAGAGTCATGAGGAGTTGCTTGTTAGAGTTGCTACGGCGAGAGAAGAGATTAGGCATATTAAGGATTTTGATTATGTGGTTGTGAATGCCAAAGGGAAGCTTGAAGATTCGGTTAAGCGTGTGGAATCTATTATGGATGCTGAGAAGTCTAAGGTTCATCAGAGGATTGTTAGAATTTGATGGTTTCTCTCATTTGTTTTCTAAGCTACTTGTGTTTGCTTTGAAAGCAAGCCCCATTTTACTCAGTTTGACATTTATATCTTGGGAATGTCCAATGTGAAATTGAAAGTCCTTGGTTCATCTATGTGGTGAAGATAACTAGGCATGGAATGAGGAATAAGTACATAATGTAGTATTAAGTTACCTTCGTAACCAAATGATACCAAACTCAATGTTAAGCCTTCTTAACCAAATGATACCAAACTATGCATTGGTTTTCTCGTCATAGTCATCATAAAGACAAGGATTCAGTTTCGATTTCACGTAATGTAACAGAGACAAGTTTGTTGTAATGTTGTGTAACAGAGACAAGTTTGTTCACGCAAATGACTGCATTTTGTTTTTAAAAAACGCAAAAAATAACAAATTACTACATCTGGCTAAACTAAATAAAAGGGGGTGGATGATCAATAAAAAATGTAAAAAATAAAATGAAAACTACAAGCAAAGGAGAGATCAAACAGGGATAGGTAAATCTTCAACCCATCCATCACGATTAATGAAGCTGAGATCAGCCAAACTTTGGACGGCAGAGCCACTCAGCTTCTTAACCCATTGCACACGTCCTCCTGTCTTTGATCCACTCCCGAAGCATCCATATTCTGCAAAGGTCAGCTGGTTTTCCTGGCGCCAGAAGTTGGATGAGTTCCAACCTTCAGGAACAACCACACTCGTCAGGTTCGAGTTATAAAAAACCACTCGAGAGTAACCGCGCCAGGGTCTACCCAAGTAGGCCATGCCGGTTCCAAAAACGAGGCAGTCGATGAATACGAATCCATTCGCGTCGTAGGGGTTGGTCCGTCCTTGAGACGTTATGTAACCCCTTACCCCCGGACCTAGCTGCCCACCTAGCACTTGTATCACACAGCTCTACAACCCACCAAATACACATATTTAAGTTCTACAATATTGAGATATATATTAATAGTTGAAAACCGAACTGTTAAGTTCTTACCCATTTCAAAGGCAAATCTTCATAAGTTTCAGAATTAATATAGATTTGGTATTAGTATATGTTGTTATTATAATTTATAAAATCAATATTATAATGTACTGTTTAGAATATACGTAACGGTTCATCATCACCTGGTAAATAGATTGGCCGCTACCAAAGATGAAATCAACCGCACCTTGGATGGTGCATCGGTGGAAGTAGTGTCGGCCATCTGAGTCCCACAAGGTATCTTGAACTCCAGCAAACCCTACCGAGTAAAAAGCCGATTTATCGCCGGCGATGAACGCTGCCACTGCCGCTCTTCTAGGGTTCTTGTTCATTTTCCCTTTGCTAGGCAAGTTGTAGGTATTCTATAAAAATGGAGAATGAAACCCTTCATGTACTGTATTTAATAAAAAAAGAGGGTAACATCAGAAAGAAAATAAAACCACCGTACTTACGGCGAAAGTGATGCTTATAACGACGGTGTTATTGGCGAGACTAGAAAAGGTAGGGCTTTGTGCAGACGAGTAATGGTCGTCCCATTCAACTCTCGTTAACCTTTTCCCAGCTCCCATAATTACTATGAACGGTTTGTCACTCGGTATCTCTATTTTCTCTCTTTTATATTACAAGGGGAAAAAAATCACAACATTACTAAGCAAGCACTTTCACATATGTAACTTCCCTAGCTACAAGACATGTGTGACTTCATTTTAAAGTCAATTAAAAATGTTGCTACGCTGACCTGTAAAGGCCGGCTTTAACATTGATGAAGAACCAATGACTATTGTTTTTTGGGACAGAATCAATAGCTTTTTGTATGGTCATGAAATTTCCATGGCCCGATTGATCCACGAACACTTGTTGTTGGTAAACTCCGAATGGTTTAGCTTCAATAAGATGAGGTAGACAAAAACAACAAAGAGCGACGAGACCAATGATTATTCGATGAGTTCCCATGATTACTGATTCTGAGTTTTATGAGATGATCTCAAAACGTAAGAGTTTATAAGAGAGGAGGTATAAAGGGTAAATGAGAGTAGTGGAGGAAATGGATTATTTAACAAGGTCGTGAGATTAATGCTTTTTAAATCAATTGTAGATATTTTGATGAAGATTTTATTACTTTATTTTCTTTTGATTATGTAATTAAAGTTGAATCTAAATTAAACTGGAAAGTTTAGGTTTATTTCTAGTTTTTGGTAATCAAAATCTTGGTTTTGTGTGAAAGAGGTCAGAAACCAAAAAGGAAGTTGTAATCTTTGTGATTGTGATAACTGTTAAAAGATAGTGGTCGAGACTTTTTTTTATTCGTTTTGAAATTGTTACAAATATTAACAAGATAATAGTGAATTTTTATATATATATATAGAAATTACATTGAAATTGGTAGGAAATTTTGAATTAATAATACAGTAAGTAAATTGAGAATATATTTTTCATACACTAAGTAAATTGAGAATATACACTAAGTAAATTGAGAAATTTTAAATAAATAGAGGTATCTTACGTTAAATCTATCCATATACTGTAGAGAATATATTTTTCGTATGAGGGCCAGAAGTAAATTGATAAGTACAATGTAGCTGGTTTGGAAAATAGAAAATAACCACACTCGGAAATCTCTGGTCTCGAATGGAAACAAATTTTTTCCTCATAAATTCTCAAGGCGTTTTATAAAACAAAAAGTTGTTTTATGAGTTTTTGCCATAAGTTTTAAAATTTTCTTATATTACACTTTTTAAGGGAAAAATAAAACCAATATTAGTTTAAGTTGTTCAAATACAATATTGAGCAATTTTTAAGCTCTTTTCATTCATCAAAAAACTTGTTGTGATTAACTTCTACCTATTTTATTTAGTACGTTGGTAATTCTAGGAGATTACTAAATAGAGTTATCTCTTGAAGAAGTCATGTGTGTGTTTTTTCTACAATGGATCCAAAAGAGCAAGGAGGATCCCATCTGAGCCTTTAGCTTCACACAAGAAGACTTGTGGTGGAGTGGAACACGTATGCTTGCAAGTCACCATTATTCTTACCGAGTTATTGACTCACTTATTATTTTAATTATTACAAAATTAGATTTCATTATATTTTGCGTACGCCAACTTCTTTTATAACCAAATATAATTCGTGACTTATATCTAAACTATATGTGTACAAATCTTCTACCAATTTGGCCACACTATTATAGTTAGAGAAGAAAACAATATGTAATGAATCATGATGTAGTTTTTTTTTTTGCGTTTACACTTTAAAATATATGGTAATCACATTAGCCAAAAAGAATGTACTATTGCTTTACCAAACCGATTTCTAGAAATTCAAGACGCCAATACAAAGCAAACATATCTAGTTTTACTTGTATAAGACATAATGGTTAGTTAATACGAACAATCCCCACGGCTTATCTTAACATAAAGATGGCAAATAAATCATACAATTATTGATATAAGGACAATAACTGATCATATTAGATTTCTAAAAATAGTAACTATACACTGTTATACATTTTTGCCTTAAAAGAGTCAGGGCGGCTTTGAGAGAAGAAGAAGGATAAGTAAGCAACTAATTATGTAACTTTAAGCCATAGAATTGCACAGAAAGAAAAAAGTAACAAACTATGAAACCAACATGTTATAAAAAAACTTTTACCTTTCAAAAAAACATAAAGCAAAAAAACGAAAGAGGAATCGACCTTTTTAAGGTATAAAAGAAGATGTCACATTTGGTGTTGTTATTACATGTATAAGTTTTGGTCATGATAGAATTGCAGTGTGAAGCATCATCATACATTCATACATACAACGATAAATCTTGAAGTTACACTTTCTTGCACATTTCCTCTTGCGTTGTTTAGGTTATTTGCAGACTTTCTCCCCACTCCTTTTTGCCTTCCCTCTCTCTTTCATTTCTCTATCTCTTTCTATATATATATACATCCATATATGTATAAGTTTAGAATGTAAAATCACGCTTTACTCGTTTCTCTTCTGCATCATCAACAACTCCTATCAAGTCATATATTACTATCCAAAAGCAAACAAGAAAGAAAGATAGATAGATAAAGTGAAAACAATTCTTTTTGAAGGTTTTAAACAACCAAGAAAGGTTCATAATGGATTCAAGAAAGTTTGAAGACGATGAAGATCGAAGCATTCGATTGCAGGTTTTTCCATCACATTAATCTCTTACTCTTATCTTTAAGCTGTTTTTTTCAGTCTAGATTTCTCTATAAAAACTTTTACATCAAGCTTGTTGTACATTTTTCACTACATATTGTTGTCCTCTTCATATTTACAAAGATTAAAATTGATAAATCAGTTTGCTAATAGTTTTAGCTCTATGTTTAAATTACTCAAAAATATATATCAATGAAGTCATCATTTTTGTGTTATAGATATCAGAACTTGAGAAATTGGAGGAAGCTATAGGCCCAAACGACACCGTTTTCGATCTAAGAAGCAGTGTTGAGAAAGGCGACAGCGGCGAAACCGCAGACGCAGCTTCTGTCTCATCCGCGTTTGCGTTTCGTAGGAAATCAACAGTCCCAGCTCCGGAGAAGAAGCTAACGCTGTTCGCTCTACAACTCGCGATTCTCGAGAAAACCGCCACCGGAATCGGAACCCTAGGGTTTATCTGGGCCACGGTGGTTCTTCTCGGCGGCTTCGCAATCACGCTCGACGGTTCCGATTTCTGGTTCATCACCATCATCCTCCTAATCGAAGGTGCTAGAATCTTCAGCCGAAGCCACGAGCTCGAGTGGCAACACCAAGCCACGTGGACCGTCGCCGGCGTCGGAATCAGTAGCTTCCGCGCTCTTCGATCAAGCTCAGCCTCGCTTCTCAGGAATATAAAACAAATCAGGTTCAATTTCGCATAAATCGAGCTGGATTCAATCAGATTTGGGGTATCACCTAATCGTTTTATGTGTTTCTCTACAGTGGTTCGATCTTCAAGCCACGATCGAGGGAAACGACGACAAGAGACTGTGTCGTTAGAGAAACGACGTTTGAGACATGGAAGAAGTCAGATGTGCCTCTTCTTCCATACGCTAGATGGTTCTTCATCTCGAGTACAGTGAGTAGGCTTCTTTACTGGCTCCAGCTTCTCTCTGCTACGGCTTGTGTGGCTCTGTCTTCTTACAAGCTTGTCAGGCATAACTATGGAGATGTTCACGAAGGAGATACGGACAAGAGGAATAGACAGTCTGCTCTCAACATATTCTACTCGCTCGCCTTTGCTGAAGCCTTGCTGTTTCTTGCGGAGAAAGCTTATTGGGAGTGGCAAGTCAGTGTTTGTAATTTGCTTGAGAATGTTACTAGAGAGTGTGAGTTTGGGGTTACTGGTTTGGTCTCGATCAAGAGATTTTTCTATGATTCTTATTCAAAGTGTGTCAATGGGAGTATATTTGATGGTTTGAAGATGGATATAGTGAGCTTTGGTATGGAGCTTTTGGACTCGAACTCTTCTGATGAACAGCTCATTGGAGCCAGGATTCTCAGGCAGTTTTCAGTGACTGAACGGTACTCGGAGGATACACTTGAGAAGATTGGAATCAACTTTCCCGTCATCGAAAGGTGTGGTCTTTACTAATTAGAACATCTGATTTTATAGAGGAGTGAATCGAGGAAGTATTATTGTAATTGTTGCTAACTTTTCTTCTCACTAGGTTGGTGGAGATGTTGAACTGGAAAGATTTGCAAGAGGAAGAGATTAGGAGATCAGCTGCTGAGATACTATCGAAACTAGCTGGTAAAAAGCAGAACTCTTTAAGGGTTGCTGGGATCTCTGGTGCAATGGAATCGATTTCATCGTTGTTAGAGAACACTAGATCATCAGGTGAAGCTCCTGATGAGATTGGAGAGAAAAAAGTGTTCCACGACCATAATCTCCACTATGATTTCTGGAGATTCAACAATTTGGGCCTTTTAATTCTGAAGAAACTAGCTAAAGATCACGACAACTGTGGAAAACTCGGCAACACGAGAGGTCTTCTACCCAAGATTATTGATTTCACACACGCAGACGAAATTCTGTTGAGGGATGAGAACGCTGACATCGCGAGGTCACGGGTGCTGACACTGAAACGGTCCCTGCAGCTAGTGAAAATGTTAGCCAGCACAACAGGGAACACAGGGAGGTGCCTCCGGAAAGAGATCTCTGAGATTGTATTCACAGTTAGCAACGTGAGGGATGTACTGAGACACGGGGCGAGATACCCAAAGCTGCAAAAGCTAGGGATTGGGATCTTGACCAACCTTGCACTTGAGGCCGAAGCTAGGGAGAGAATTGGCGGAACAGGAGGTGTTCTGAAAGAGTTATTCAACATATTTTTTAAACGGGAAACACACAGGGACGAGGGAAATGAGGGATGTGTGAGGATTGCTGCAGGAGAAGCGATAGCAATGCTTGTGTTGGAGAGCAAGAGTAACTGCCTCCATGTTCTTAGGCTTGGGGTTATGGGAAGACTTGTGGAAGCACTTGAAGTTCCTTCTATCCGTGTAAATGCTGCAAGAGTGTTGAGAAACTTGTGCTTATACTCTGGGGATGATTGCTATCATGACCTAAAGTTCGTTAAAGCAGCAGCACCAACGGTTAGTTATTTTGATATTTGAAAAATTTACGCCCAACTCGAATCCAGTAACAATCTGGAAACCTTTCTCTTTTTGTTGTAGGTGTTAAAGTCAATAACATCAGAAGACAACAAATTACAGGAAGTGATGGTGGGATTAGCAGCACAAGTGTTTAGATTCATGAGTTCGAAAGAGTCGGGGTATGTTTTCATGGATTCAGGAATCAAGAGGCGTGAACTGGCATACTCATTAGTCTCGATTCTGAAAAAGCACGACAAGCCAGCGATTAAGGTTCCAAGAATCAGGAGGTTTGTGATCGAGCTGGTGATTTGGATGATGGAAGATGATGTGGAGAATAGTGTAACAGTGTTTAGAGAGCTGGGTCTGAAGACAGAGCTTGAGAAGGTTCTAGAAACTACGGCTGAGCTTGAGAACTTCGATGTTTTCTCTGGTACTGTTGGACTAAGCCGTCATAGCAGAACAGTCCATTCTCTAGCCGAGCTAGCCTTGAAAATTCTTGAGGATTTCTGAACCATACACGATCATCCTGCAAAAATATCTCAAAGCTCTGCAGTTATAGCTGTAAATATATGATTCATTGTTTTGTAAGAAGAATGAATTACAATGTACAATCATGCAAGATATTCTTTAATTTATTGGTTTAAATTTTACAATATGTGACAAAGGTCCACACAACAACCTTTTTTATATTTCTGTCTCTCGCTATTCTTTTCTTCTGCTGGGCAGAAGGCAGCAGATAAGCAAAATGGTTTTCCCACGAACATTGAAGCTTGGGGGTTTGATTCTTTGCCAAAGCAAAGGACAAAGTAAAGAATTTAAAACATTGCTTTCAGCTGAAGAAACTTTCTATTCCTATGAACTGGATAAATATATATACATATATGACACAGGCAGAGATCTTGTGATCATCCTAAGACAGAACCAGAGACAAAGACCTGTCTGCTTTTTTGTTGTAAGAAGTCTTTTTGTTATATTTGTTGTCGGAGAATCTTGTAGTCATGGCTTCAGGAGGATCAAAGTCGGCAGCTTTCATGCTTCTAATGCTAAATCTTGGTCTCTATTTCGTCGTCACCGTCATCGCTTCTTGGGCTGTTAATCACGGCATCGAGAGAACTCGCGAGTCCGGTACTTAAAACAACTTCTTTGGTAATAATAAATCACAAAGATTTTTATAAATTGTAAAATCTCATCAATCTTTTCTTTTTATTGTAGCGTCGACGCTGTCTCTACCGGCGAAGATCTTCCCGATATACTTTCCCGTGGGGAACATGGCGACTGGTTTTTTCGTAATATTCACGTTGATCGCCGGCGTCGTCGGAATGGCCACTTCACTCACCGGAATCATGAACGTTCTTCAGTGGGACTCTCCGAATCTTCACTCTGCCGCCGCTTCTTCTCTCATCTCTTGGTCTCTCACTCTCCTCGCCATGGGGTAAACCAAAACCTCACTCACCGTCCGGTTTATCATTTAAATCAAACCGGGTTTTAACCCGGTTCATTTTTAAATACCAAATCTTAACCGAATTTGATGTTTGGTACACCACAGATTGGCATGTAAAGAGATCAACATAGGCTGGACCGAAGCTAATCTGGTGAGCTTTTGTTTCAACTGAAAGTACGTGAATTTGCAAAATGTATACTTCTTGTGGAGATTTTAATGTAATATTTGTTTGTGTTCTGTCTTTGCAGAGAACTCTTGAAGTTCTGACAATAATAGTGAGTGCTACTCAGTTGGTGTGCACCGGAGCTATTCACGTTGGAGTTGGAGAAACCGTGGCTGGAGAAAGGCCTCACGTTGGGAGAGTTTGAGTTTCAAAGATTATTGCATTTGTTTTAAGATGGTGTAATTGTATGCATGTGTGTTGTGTTTTTGTGTGTTGTTGATTGAATTATTCTTTTACTATTTTTACTTTTTATGTACCACGAATACGAATGTTACTATTATGTGAAAAAAATGCCTTACCTTTCTAGGGTTACCTCCTAAAAGATATATCATAGCATTTTCTTATAAAACATAATTTTAACCATGGAGGTAAATTGGAATACATAGTCAATTAATTGCTTAAGTCTGACATATTTGAAGACATTATTTGAAGACTTATGTCAGATACATAGTCAAATATGTCAAAAATTATAATTTAATTCATGGAGGTAATTTGGAATCCATAAGCAATTAATTGACATAGTCAAATTTTTGGTCAATTATGAGTCTTCAAATATGTCAGATACGCTGAAGCAATTAAAATTATAATTGACCAAAAATTTGTTTCAGTGTATCTGACATACTTGAAGATGTATAATTGACCAAAAATTTGACGAGGAACGGAAAATTTAACTTGTAATTTTAGAAGTTGGTTTTAAATTCTCAAAATAAAGTGAAAAAAAAATAGTTGACAAAAAAAGTGAAGGAAAAAATATCATTTAAATGAACTTTTAAACCCTTTTACTAGTGTCTGCTCCCGGACAATGATTCTCAAATTCCTTGTATTGTATACCAGAAATGGATAAATCAATGTCCCAAGGCGCCCAACTTTGTGGATCAACGAAGTCGTCTATAAAAGATTACATAATTGTTACTCTAGAGAAATCTTTCCATGGACGTCCTACTTACTGCAGTATTTCTACAGATAAAATCAATCGTTCCAGTGATGTAACACTTGAGATCAAACTGTCGATTTATGTCAGCAAAAAGTGTAGCTTGGTAGTTTTCTATGGTAGACATCGCGAGTCACGCATAATTCCAATACTTGTTTCTTTTGGCATCAATGGCTGTAAAAACCGAATTGTTTATAAAACTAAAACTTTTCATAGTAGATGATATCTTTATTTAGTTGTTTAAGTAACGGTTGTAATCTCTAGTAATTAAAATTAGTTGATTAACATTTAAAGGTTAATTTCCAAAAACATATCAGAATGAAGGTTTAGTTAAAAAAAAAAAAGTTATTATTTTAGTTTTTTTTTACAAGTTTCCTCTTACAAAAATTTAAACATGTTGAGTTTTTTTTTAATAGAAAAATATAGAAATTGACAAGCCTTATGTAAGAAAACATATAGAAATTTAAAAGCCTTTTGTAAGCAAACATATAGAAATTTAAAAGCATTTTGAAAGAAAACATATAGAAATTTAAAAAACAAATAAATGTAGTTTAATTTTCAAGTTATGATCGCAACGTGATCAATATTCATATATTAACATATATTGACGGAATGATGCCAAAAACCATATTTTGACGGAAAAAAAAAAAATCATAGTAGACAAATATAGGCTATATCTACAATATTTCTGGAGTTAAACATATAAACTCATTATGCTATAAATATATAACTATAAATTCATAAACTCATTATGCTACTGTCTATATCTACAATATTTCTGGAGTTAAACATATAATTATGACATTTTGGGAATATATAACTAAAAACTAGTGAAATTGTGTCTTTAATACAATTAAAATAAAAATTATAATTTTTTGTCTTTATCGTCTTTTTGTCACAGAAAATTGTAACATACATCTTAAGAGTGAGTTTAGTAGAGAGAAAATAAAATGTTGATAAATTTGTATAAGTATATATTGAAAACTCTAGTTTATAGATAACAAAAGAATATATATTTTTTTTGCAATAATCAAATTATATTTAATCCATGTATAATTGTTGTATATCATCTAAACCGTATCTACAATACGCACCTCCAAGTCATTGAACTAATACGTCCATCACATTTTGAAGTTATGTAACCCACACTAAAAAGTTATATTTCATTAGGTTAATAAAAAATAAATGCTATTGATATATTTTTGTTATATTTAAAATGATTGAGGCCCTATAACAAAATGAGTTTTGTGTGTTATATACTGTATTTGATTAATTTAAGTACATTAGAGTGCATGCATGGGAAAAAAGATTGGTCTCAGCACTTTATGGCTTTGAAGTGCATGATTGATAATGCGAATTTTAAGTACATTGAAGTGCATGATTGATTGATGCGAATTTAAAAAAGAACGAAAGAAAGAAAAAGTAGATAATATTACATTACTACATTCTTTTGCTTCTACAGCCTAATTCTGATCTGTTTTTTCACTTTGGAACAACATAAACAAACACACAAGCGAACAAACATGTCATCAATCCATCAGCCGAAGCGTCATTATCATTAGGAACCACACAAAACTCCCACCTCCTCCACCACCAGACCTGGTCCACCTCTTGCAGCGACGATGTTATCAAAAAGGTTAAGATTAGAACAGTGACTAAGACTTCAGCTTCTTCAAGGGTGAAGCCAATTAAAAACAAAACAAAACACCTACAGCAATGACAACACCACCAAAAACTCATGTTAAATCTTTAGACTTTAACACAAGAAACTTCAGCAGCTTTTCATGTACGAATGCAATTAGACCATGACACGGATGATCTTTAATTTCAGACATGAGAATGAAGAAGATTGATCTTACATGGTCAAAGCCGAGTTCATCATCTCTGCCAACAAAGTTTCTTCCCACCCTCACGCATTATTTCATAAGCAAGCTTATACTTCTCCAGAGACGAAGTCCCAAACTCTATGTACTTGGACGCAGCTTCTCTCAAACTCCAAACCATCAAGGCCTTGAGATCCTGAGCACTCACACCTGATTCCATATCACGCACAAACCCAAACTCTGCGTTCTTGGTCCACCGGTGCAGTATATATCGAGATGGGAGCTCTCTTATGTCCAGAAGATTAAACACTTTCAAGATATGTCTACAGAGAAGTCCTTCGTGCTCAAACATCTGACAGCTGCAACTCGAATTGAGATTCGATGCACTGAAAGTCACCGCGTGTTTCTCACTCTCATTCCCACATTTCCTCACCAGGAATCTACTGATTGCTCCTTCTTCGTATGTCTTTAAACAGAGGTAATTGTAAGACTGGACGAGTTCGTTCTGGAAGATTCTAAACACTGTTAGCGTGTAGAGTCTTCTGCATTGTTCTTCTACGGGTTCTTTTGTCTGCAGAAACGGCTGCAGGTTGTAAGAATTGAAATCCTCTTTTCTTTCCTCTTCCCGTCTCTGCTCGAGCGCTTGTTCATATCTTGAAATGAATTCTCTGAGAGGCGTTAGAGCGTCAAGTGAAGCGCCAAAGAAGGGCTCGATGGTTCCATTTATTGGGATTCCGGCGAAGAAGCTTGCTCTTAGATACGCGGGAACCCAATTCTCGCGCTGTTCATAAATCTCTCTGAGCCAAATGTCGTCTCTAAGACCATATTTGTTGATGAGCGCATTCCAAACTGAGTCAAACTCAACTGTTGTCTGAGTCTGGTATATACATTTCTCGTATTCATACTTGAATTCGCTTGGAAACGGTCTGAGATTTTCCTGCTCCTTTTCCCTAATTTGCCAAGCTGAGTACCGGTGATGAGCCCCGGGAAAGACTTGGACCAAAGCTTGCTGGATAGGCAAATCTTGATCAGCTACAATGGATCTTGGACGACGACCTGACATGGCGCGAAGCCATGTCTGAAACAACCATAAGAAAGCCTCTTTAGATTCGTCAGCAACCATCGCACACCCAAGAAGCACGGGTTGCCTGTGATGGTTAAAACCGATGATAGTAGCAAACGGAACAGCATAATTCCCTTTTCGGTATGAAGTATCGAAAACAACAGTATCACCAAACTGACTGCAAGCGAATCTTGCTCGGCTATCTGCCCAAAAAATGCTCATACAGCTTCCATTATTGACATCCAATTCGACAGCGTAAAAGAATCCCATGTCTTCGGTTTGTCTAGACTGAAAATAGTCGAGAAGCAGCGGATACCATTCTTTACCAATTCTGTTTTCTCGGGTTTTCTTGATGTGGTTATTGCCGAAATCATTTAGTTCAATAAGATCAACAGAATCCAATCCCCCGGTCCCATCGTCCGTTATCTTTTTCATACCAGCGTCATTCTTCTTCCCCGGTTCGAGGTCATGATTATGATCTTTATTGAGACGATCAACAATCCAACCACCAGAGTCTTGTCTTTTGATCCTCATGTAAGCTCCACAACCCATTCTTGAAGGATGTTGAAACCCTTCTCTCGAGCAAACAAACCGTCTCGATGTAATTGAACCATCGACTTTCGAACGGAACAACTGACCAATCCGAACTCTAAACCCAACAACTTCCGCATACGCCTGATAGAACTGGCACGCTTCATTAGCCGAACCAAACTCCAACCCTGCATATGGCTCAGTACCATTAACCGCCTTAGGCTGTTGTGTTTGATGATGATCATCACTCACTTCTCCTTCACCACCGCCTTTGAAGCGTTTGAAACCACCAGGGCAAGATCGTGTTCCTCTCTCAGACTCATCAACAACTTTCATCTTGGGTCTATGCGGGTTAACCGTCACACCTAGCTTCGTAGGAGCTGGAGCTCTTGAAGGACGTGGAGTCGTCTCCTCAACCTGACCTTCACCTCCAAGCTCATGGTTATGCTCTTTCTGGATCTGGTCAAGAACCCATTTCCCTGTATCCCGTCTCTGCACGCGTATAAACGCGGTGCATCCAGTTCTAGAATTCAGCTGAAAACCTTCCTTTGAACACACAAACCTCCTAGACGAAACCGTACCATCAGTTCTTGATCTATACAACTGGCCAGTCCTAACCTTAAAACCCGTTCGAATAGCGTAAGCGTTGTAGTACTCACGAGCTTCCTCTGCAGTATCGAATTCTAAACCAACGTAAGGTTCGACTCCTGAGCCACCTTCTTCATCTTCACTTATACCGTTGTTGTTGTGATGCAAAACCCGTACAGGGTATGCTTTAGCAACCATGTTATTGAAGCTGTTAAGCTCAGTATCTGCACTGCAATTGAAAAATACACAAAAGAGTTCATCAAAATCCAACCCAATTCAACAGTAACAAACACTACAATGGAAATTTATCAAAACCAGAGAAGATTCGAAAATATCCAAAGTAACACACTCATTTAAATGAAACTAACAACACAAGAAGGAATAATATATGAAAAAGACCAAATCAGCCATATCTTTCCCCCCAAAATTACCTATCCATTCTCGTCGAAGCGACCAAAGACCAACCGAATCGGTTAACAGACGGAGATTGCGAGAGAGCACCAAACTCTCAGCTGCTCAGCGGTTCGAATTCACTAAGATGCTTCATTTCACGACCTTCCACATTCTCTTTGCGCGGGAAATTGATGGTGGTAGACCACAAAATTAATTAGGGATTGCAGCGAAGACGATAGATAGCTAGATAGATACAGAGAGAGAGAGAGATGGAGAGAGAAGATGAAGAAACAGCAAAAGCTAACCCCTTTTTTTTATCCGTCAATTGAACCCTTTTTTTAACTAGACCAATCTTATATTTGATGTCATAACATTATTGATGGTGTAATAAACTTTTTTAATATATATATACTTTATTACTACAAAGTCCAAACCTTTTTCATCATCTTCTGGATGAGTAGATGACAAAAGATCCAAATAAAATTGGGGATCAACCAAGGATCTAGGGTTCCGGTGAAAGGATTCGACTTTTTTCTCCCGGAATAACCAGTAAACCTCCTTTCGTCTGGCTCTGCTTCGGAGCTTGAATTCGAGTCTGGCCACGAGTCTTTTGAGTTACGAATCAGGGAGAAGTTACCGATACGCAATGAGTAGAGGTCAGTCGTATTTGATCAGCCTCGTTAGAAAACGAATTCGACAGAACCCTAATGCCCAGATGCGGAGTCTCGCTCTCGAGTCTCGGGATAGTGAATCCAAGCCCGATGAGCAAAAATCGGCCGGAGGTGGAACCACGTATACGGAGATGGCTAAAACTGTCTCTACGGTCATGAGAGAGAGACAGAGATGGCAACAAACTCTGGTATCTGATTTCCCGTCGTTTAATTTCGCAGATCCATTGTTTTTCCGAGAACTGTTGAAATCTCAGAACAATGTTCTGTTTTCTCTGTGGTTCTTTCGATGGTTGTGTTCCAACTATGATTACGCACCTGATCCTGCTTCTTTAAGTCTTCTCTTTGGTGCCCTTTTGGATGCAAAAGCCGTTAAAGCTGCTAAAAGTTTTCTTGATACCACTGGTTTTAAACCTGAGCCCACGTTATTAGAGCAATATGTGAAGTGTCTTAGTGAAGATGGGTTGGTAGAGGAAGCTATTGATGTGTATAATGTACTGAAAGAGATGGGAATTAGCCCTTCAATTGTGACCTGCAATTCTGTTTTATTAGGTTGCGTGAAAGCAAGGAAACTCGATTGTTTTTGGGAACTTCACCAGAAAATGATGGAATCTGAGGTTGATCTAGAGAGGATCCGGTGTTTGATTCTAGCTTTGTGTGATGCTGGTGAGGTTTCAGAAGGCTATGAGCTTCTGAGGCAGGGATTAAAACAAGGGCTTGATCCAGGACATGATGTGTATGGCAAGTTGATATCTGGATTCTGTAAGATTGGGAAATATTCTTGTATGTCGGAAATTCTTCATACGATGATTGCGTGGAACCATTTCCCGAGTATATATACATACCAGAAGATTATAAATGGGTTGTGTAAGAATAAGAAGCAGGTCGAGGCTTATTGTATATTCAAGAATTTGAAAGACAGAGGCTATGCACCTGACAGAGTCATGTATACTACAATGATTCATGGATTTTGTGAGAAGGGATGGTTAGGGAGCGCGAGGAAGCTGTGGTTTGAGATGATTAAAAAAGGAATTCGACCAAACGAGTTCACTTACAATGTGATGATACACAGGCACTTAACAAGAGGCGAATTTGTGCTTGCTGGAGAATTCTATAGTGAGATGCTCAGAAATGGCTATGGAGAAACAACTGTAAGCTGCAATACAGTGATCACGGCTTTCTGCTCAAATGGAAAATCAGATGAGGCATTCAAGTTTTTCAAGAAAATGTCTGAAACAGGGGTTGCACCCGACGCAATCACGTATAACGCTTTGGTTCAAGGATTTTGCAAGGAGAATAAGGTTGAGGAAGGCATGAAAGTATATAAGGAGCTTAAGGCCTTAGGTCTAAAGCCTTCTGGTGTGACATATGCTGCACTCATGAGAAATTTGAAGATGTCTGACTCTGTTGCAACTACTTTAAACTTTCAGATTGTCTGAAAGAAACTAATTTTGTTGAAAGTATTGTGCGACTGTAGACCTGTATCTTTAGATTGATTCATCAGCAGAAAAGCTGCTTCCATTTTTGTTTGCAGATCTGTAATTTTTGTCCTCTTTTAGGAAATAAAACAAAGTGTTTCATGAATGATCTGTTAAGTGGATGAGTCTACCCATTTCCAGGATTACATACAAAAGCATTATCTTCATAATAGGCAACTGAATGTTATGGTCTCTATATATGGGAGAGGTCATAAATCTGAACAACTCAGCCATAACAAAGAGATTCAAAAGTTACATTACTACACTCAATTGAAAAAAAACAGTAGTCTCATGTCTTGACAAGCAGTAATGAAACTTGGACGCACAGAGTTCACTAAAAACTCCATTTGCAGGACTCGGAATCACCAAATGGAACAATGAGAAATGATGAGGCAAAAGAATGTTTAAAGTTTGAGGTTTTGCAGGCCAGACATTTTCTGGATCTCCTCGATGATGAGCTCCTTTTCCTCTTCGAATTGGTCATCTTCGGAACCTAAGCAAGATTTTCATTAGTGGAATGAGTCTAATTTAGAGGATAATATCTACAAACATTAGTATAGGTAATTTCAATCATACCTTTACCAGGGGACAAATTATGAAGAAGTTCAAGTAATTTCTCATGGTTTCTTGCCAAAATGATCTTCACTTCTTGTGGCTTATTAGGATTCGCAACAAAGATCTGTAAGCACACAAGTAGATGTGGTTTAAAAGGCTTCCAAGTCTGATAATAACTCATCCTCAGAGACCTATTAACAGTTGTTACCAAATCAACTACCGTTTTAACATAGTTATATGTTACCTTAAATATATGGAAAGCTGAGATTTGAATATTCTTGCTCGAGTCCTACTCAGATAAACATGAAACCATTTAATATGTAATAAATTATGAGTTTGTGACAAAGTAACCGCAAAATTAGAAAGATGAAACCACAAATTAACCGCTTACCTTCAAAAGTGTCATTATGACTTTCAGATAACGAACTTCCAAGATGAATTTCTTCATTATGTGTGAATTTGGAGTCTCCAACAGGAAATCTGAGAGAAGCTGCACCAACCAGAAAACCCTCATAGTTAACAACACCATTTAAGAGGTGATATACATATATATATGAATATAGTATCAAGATAAGAATTGTCGCGAAGAGAACCTTCAGTGATTGCCTTCTCGTCACATAATTTGAAGATGTCAAAAGTCTTTCATAAATATCAAAGAACTGAAATAACCATAAATAACCCGTCAGCTAAAGGAGAAGTTTTTAAAGACTGTGTTTCGTTTAGTTATAGGATTTATGACCGAGAGATACTTCTCATGTCATCTAAACTTGAAAAATATGCTGAAGCAAACCTCACTGTAATGAGAGGTGAGAAACTCGGAAACTACAGAGTCATGTTTTGTGAGAAGATCCTGCGAGAGAGGTAAGGAAGTAATGTATATGTAAGCGAAATCCCAAACAAGTCCAAGTCAATAATGTAGTGAAAAAATTACCTTGAATGTCGAAAATGCATCAGACGCAACATCAAAGTTTGGCAATTCCACAAACTTGAAGAATAATTCAAAGCAAGCAGACTCTAAAATATACCTGAAAAAGAAAAATATTGACCATTGCATGGCAGTGAACTCATTAAAACAGGATAGTAACCACATTGAAAAGTAAAAGCTAGATATAAGGGTTTGTCTTACTTAGCGAGACTTGGGAATTTAATGCATTCCCTAAGCATACTTCCACAATGCAGAGCAATCTCCTTGTTGTCATAGCTGTCCGTAAACAGTATTGACTCATAAGGTACGGATCAAATCAACTACTAGAAAACAATTCAGCCAGGTAAGAAAATAAATTTGAAAATCAAATCAGTATTTACCATACAACCAAAGAGTCGAGCAACTCGAAATGGTCTTCAAAGTATTGCACAAAGCAATAAGTCTCGCCGACTTTTTGCTTCAACAAGATAGACCAGCAATGCAGTAAATCTTTTCTTGCCTGCAACATTATTCAGCGGGTTCGTAAACAGATTTTACTAAACAGACACAAAGGGAAACGAATCCAAAACTCTCACTTACTTCCCATCCCAAAATGTGTAGCTTATGAATAACAAGAGAGATAACATCTTCTTTGCAGAACTCTAATGCTAACTGTACAGCTTGATCAGCATTTGGTTCAGCCTCACCATCTCCAGAAAGAATTCCTCTTAGAGAAGAAAAATTCTTCTCAACTTCTTCCAGAGCCTAAAAAGATAAAAGATAACCATCAAAAGACTTACTCTGCATTCATCAATAAGCAAATTAGATTTGTCAAAAATCCCACATAACCAAAACACCAAAATCTCAGCTACAAGGAGATTATCTTCAGCAACTCAAGTGACAAAAAAGAGAAGGTTAACACCAATCACACCAAATCAGTAAAACCCATGTTGAGAATTCAGCAGATAGGCAATAAAGGTACAAACTTTATAATAGAGAATTAAGAGAGGAACCTTCTCGAGGGCTTTAACTTCAACGACGGTCTTGGTGTCGAGAGCCATAAGACTGTCTCTGATAGCCTTAACGACCTCTTGAGGCGTTTTAGGCCTCGAAGGCTTGAAGAAGGAGAAGGACATGAGATCAGATTCCGGATTCCCCCGCGTATTGATTCTGAGCTCACAGGACCAATAGAGAAGGCCAACACTGCTCTTGGCTTCTCTCTTCTACCTCCTCCTCGCCTGGGTTCTCAAGCAGATCGTCAAATCAATCATACACACATTTATTTTTCTAATTTGACCAAACGAAAAAATCAAAAATGGATAAAATGCCACTAAAAGTTTCCAACTTTTTACATGTTTTACAAGCGAAGCCTATATATATAACTAACATGTATTGTTGTAACAACTTAAAAACTTCTTTATCGTTGTCTAAAATCATTAGTTGTGAAATTTTTGTCCACTAATTGGCAAGGTTTATATAATAAGATATGTTTTTATCCACTAATTTTTATACATTTTACAATGTATGTCTACAAATACTTCATCACAGATCAAACTGAATGATTTGACAATTTAATTAGATGTCAAATAGTTAGAAGATACGATTTTATCAGTATGAATACAAAAACCTCATAACTAAAGTAAGATTGTTTTTGTATTAAGCTACAACTAGATTTGGACCCGCACGTACGTGCGGGATTGATTTCAAAAACAAAATTTGTTATAAAATTTTCAAATATATTATGTACGTACGGGATTATGTTTGTAAGCGTAACTTTTAGGAATTTTATTAACATTTATAATCTAAACCAGTATCAAGTCAATATTTGATTTTTTTTAAAAAATTAGGTTAAACAAAAAAAACGATACGATTTAGTTTTATTAAAGACAGTTGTACTTGTACCTTAAAAAATAGTAAAACAATTGTAGTTTGTCAATTTCGGGACATAAATCTTGTCTCGTGCGTCTTAATATGTCATGTTTTTCCATTCCATAAGCATTTTAATTATTTACCCATTTGAGATTGTATATTTTAGTCAAACATATAAGAAAATAGGTCAACGATATAGACTTACACATAAATGTAGGGTTCTATTTGTAGACATATTTATCCACTATAGCATTTATAACATAAACTAATATTGGTTTGCGTTCATGAAGTTTGTGAATGTCGGATCGACAGGATAGCAGATCCAGACTGAGTGTGAACCGTGAGCTATCAAATACGTCCGCTATGCATGCTCCACACTAAATACATATTAAAATATTTTGACCCGCAAAAAATACATTTCCTGTAATCCACTTTAGTAAATAGCATGTCTCCATATGTTCTTCTTAAATTCACGTTACCCAACATTTTCATCTCATATTCTATCATGAATAGTTTAGATGATTTTTTTTATGTTTCAAATTTCCCGTAACGGTTATTTCATGTTCTGATATTTGAAATAAAATAGTTAAAACTAAAATTAACAATTCAAATTTTTTGTTCATGTATCATACATGTTATTTGATATTTGAAAATTGAAATTGAATTTAGTTTCTTGATTTTATGATCTCCTCTCGTTACTTTTATTTCTCAACATGCTTTTTATGAAAAATAGTTTGGATAATATTTTATTTTTTCAAATCAATATTATTTCCATAAATATAGATAGATTTGTTTTTTTAATTATCCTTTTAATTGTATAAACTATAATTGACTTATACAAAATGCTTACCTTTTAATAGTATAGATATATAGTTTTTGAAAATATTAAAAAAAATAATTTAGATTAAATATGTTTAATTTCGAATTTAATTTATTATTTTTCTGGTAATCAAATCAATATTATTTCCATAAATATAGATAGATTTGTTTTTTTTAATTATCCTTTTAATTGTATATACTATGATCATTTTATACAAAATGCTTCCCTTTTAATAGTATAGATATATAGTTTTTGAAAATATTAAAAAAAAAAAATTTAGATTAAATATGTTTAATTTCGAATTTAATTGAATATTTTTATGGTAATAAAATCAATATTATTTCCATAAATATAGATAGATTTGTTTTTTTTAATTATCCTTTTAATTGTATATACTATGATCACTTTATACAAAATGCTTCCCTTTTAATAGTATAGATAGATATATAGTTTTTGAAAATATTAAAAAAATAATTTAGATTAAATATGTTTAATTTCGAATTTAATTGAATATTTTTATGGTAATCAAATCAATATTATTTCCATAAATATAGATAGATTTGTTTTTTTTAATTATCCTTTTAATTGTATATACTATGATCACTTTATACAAAATGTTTCCCTTTTAATAGTATAGATAGATATATAGTTTTTGAAAATATTAAAAAAAAAAATTTAGATTAAATATGTTTAATTTCGAATTTAATTGAATATTTTTATGGTAATCAAATCAATATTATTTTCATAAATATAAATAGATTTGTTTTTTTTAATTATCCTTTTAATTGTATATACTATGATCACTTTATACAAAATGTTTCCCTTTTAATAGTATAAATAATTTGTTTTTTCCCTTAAATATTTGATTTAATTAATACATATAGATATCAAAATGGACGAAACGCAATAGATATCTTAAAAAACAATATACATATTGTCGGCCCAACAAAGCCCAACC